GTCCTTGTTCCAGCCCCTGGCGCCTGCATGGCCGCTCCCATGGTGAGACCCAAGGCGGCGGCTCCAGCGGACACCGAGGTTACCGGTGGCGCTTGCCCCATCGCGGCCGCCACCTGCTCCTCGGCAAGCTTCCGCTGCAACTCCTGAGCAGCCGGCCCAAGACCAGAGAACAGAGCACCACGCGCCCGCCCACACCACGAGATAAGAAGAGACGGGCGTCAACATCGTCTAGTCTGCGCCAGAATGCAATCTTTAAATTGCTGCGCGACAGGCAAGGAGAAGAGGCGACGCATGGCCACGACAAAGGTCGACTTGTAGAGGTGTCCAATGTTGTATGTAGTCCGTAGCATTGCGCAGCGCCCGGAACGGTCTCTTCACGTGCAGGCAATAAAAAAGGAAAAAAACAAAAAACAACACTACGGCGGATGACATTGCCGTTCGGCCAAGTCACGCTCTACTCGCTGACTGAAGGGAAACAACTCCAACAGCAGTGTGTGGGCAGACATGGCATTGTCGTAAATGGAAGTATGATCGTAACAGCAATGACCCCGATATAAACAGCCTAGAGTCACTTAACGAGCGCGTCAGACAAGTTCCCGCCAACAGATACAGCAGTATTCTACACACACCGTTTTTCGGCGAATGTGTCGATTGTTTGCTTACTTTGTGCGAAAACAACCACAACAGCAAGAGACTGAAAACAGCATGGTGCCAAAGCGTTCCTATTGCATTTTACTGCAGAAAATAGCTCATGACGGTCATACCAGAGCCGCTTTGGTCACCAACCTTTTACCCTATCTCTGCCAGGGGGAGGAGGGCAGAGATCGCAAGTTCAAGCTGGCACCACCGCCACGCAGTGCGTTAGGAAAACAACTACCACTGTACAGAAGAGAAAATAAGTCCAGCGAAACGGCCATAAAATAAAATTGGCAGTGAAAGGTCAAGGCCGGACGACGGCAACAGCAAGGGTATCGAGGAGATCGACACAGACGATGGAGGGCGTGGGGAGGTGCGGCCGGGTGCCACGCCACCCCGGCGGAGAAGGCCGGCAACAGGACGAGCCGAGGCGGGGAAAGCAGATCACGACCAAAGATTTAGCAACCCAGCGTCAAGTTTGAGGCGTGGCCGGCGTGGTGCCAAGGAGTGCGGCCGTACAGTGTCGGCAGCAAACGGGGGGGAAATGGAAAACGGCGGGAAAAGGGGGAAAGATGGGAGACACGCGTACGAACATAAACAAGTTGGAGACGGGGAGAAGGAGGGGGAGACGCAGAAAGACCGCACGGAACAGCGACAGAGCAAATGAAGTCCCGGGGCGCGACAGCGACAAAAGGGTAGCGGCAAAAAGCACAGAAAGAATAGCCGGAGCATCGACACGTCCACAGGAGAGCGAGCGAAAAGCGATACACAGTACAGGGGCGGATGGTGGCAGATCACCGAGGAGAGACAGAAGGAAGACACGGAGAGAAAAGGAAAAAAAAACGGCGACAAGAAGACCGAAAGAGAAACAAGAACACACGAGCAAGAACAAACACAAGCGAGAGCGAAAACAAGTAAGGAGGAAAAGCGCACGGCGAGCGAGAGAGAGCACAGCACAGCACAGCGATTTTGTCAGCCCCAAAAGGCAAGTTGCCCTTTTCATGGCATTGGAAGCTATGAAGCCACCACACAGTACGAAGGTGATAGTCACTCTCAACTGACTCAACATGTACAACGAACATTACTCGTCAAAGTCTGAGCTCAGCAACTGCTGAGTTATTGACAAAGCCGTGAGAATTTGTCTCTTGCCCGTTCCGTGCATCTCTGCTCTTGCTGTTTGCGGAAGTGACCCATCTCCACATCGGCTAACCGCGCTATGGTATTAATAGCCACGACGCACCCACCAGACACCACAGGGAGCTTGTCAAGTGGCACTGCAGCCGAATGCATTTGCATATTTGTATATACCCGTCTGGTGCCGCCGTTTTCGGCGAAGGCCCAAGGGCCACATGTGTGCCGGAGAGGTGTCCAACGACGGGCCGTCCAACCCACCATCTACAGCAGTACGGCCCTTGTCAGAAAAACAAAATAAAATCGATGCCCACGGCAGCCGTAGATTCACCACCAAAAATAGATGTTGTGTTCTTGTATGCATAGGCGTCCTGTAATTAAACTAATGACATGGAGTAGGACCGGGAGGACAGCAGCTGAGGACAGACCATACCGTCACCGTCTTTTCAGGAGAGATTGTATATACCGCTGCAAGGGCAACACACAACATTTTAAAAAAATGAAAACACGTGGTACTACTGCAAAGTACTATGTAAGCAACGCCCGCGACAGCAGTCCTTTATTCAGCACACCAAGTCCCACCTGCAAGGGGGTCATCGGAACCACAGGGGCCACTGGCGGTGCGTCCCCCCACCCCTTCTTGACCACAGCGCCGGGTGCAGCAGGCGTGTCCCACCCTCCTCGCCGGGTGCGCTTCCTCTTTGGCTGCTCGGCTGCTCCAGCAGCACCGCTCTCCGCCGTCTCCTTGCGTGGCGCACTCGCGGCCGCCGCCGCTTGTGCTAGTGATTTGGCCGCCGCGGCCATGGCCTCAACGTCCTCATTGGTTCCCTCCATCGGGTCCTCTTTGGCGCCGCCGCCTTTGGCATCTGATGGAGCATCGGCAGCAGCAGAAGCAGCAGCGGCGGCGGCGGCGGCGGGTTGACCATCGCCACTTTCGGTGGGAGAAGCTCCGCCTTGCTTCGCTACGGCTGCTGCCTCCGGAGCAGCTGCTGCTTCGAGTGCAGCGGGCGGTGCCGCATCAGCATCACCTCCGGAGGGCTCTTCAGTCGACGGGTTTTCTTTTGTCGGGGCAATGGCAGCATTGCCATTGCCATCGCCGTGGCCGGCGGCGTCGCTGGTTGGCTTGACAGAAGCAGCAGCAGCAGCAGCATCTTTGGTGGACCCGTTGTTGTTCGCAGGGGCCGGATCCGCGGCAGAGGCGGCGGCAGAAATTTCGACAGCATCGGGGGCAACAGATCCCGTGGTCACGTCCATAGGGTCGCTCATTGTACAAACCTCTCACACACAGCAATCAAGGTTAATATGTGTACCAAGCAGGCCCAGACAGCACAGAGCAGCGTTGACCCAGCAGCGGCGCTCCTACATTTCGGGGGGCACGCGAGCAGTTTGTTTTCGCAGGGGATGTAGGGGGGCACGCAATTTGAAAACCGATAATATATAATATATGCAAACCAACCAAACTACAGCATACAGTGCTGGTCACCGCACAGCGCAGTCACGGCCTTTCCTCTCGCTGCTGCAGAACTCCAATTCGCGATCACACACAAAGAAGCAAAGAAGGTGTAGACTATGTTTATATCTCGCCGAAAGAGGCTGGTCAACAGACAACGCGGCCCATAGCCTAACGCGTTCAGCGGCGTTGGCCACATAAAATACATCCAATGGTGCTGCTCCCCCCGCCCAGCAAGAGGCGCGTAAAACAAGCATAGAGGACCACAGTACTGAATACTCGGTTATCGACCGTGTTGCTGTTGTTGATGATGTTGTTATTCCAATGTTGTTCGTTTTTGCATTCCGTACCTTCGAACGTGTGCACACCTACAGAAAAATCGTACCTCGATGTTATGACAAGTTTTTTTCCTGCTATTGTCACTCACTCATCACTGCTGCTGCTGTCCTTGAGGCTAGGGCAGCGGGCTGTCTCTCTCTCTCTCTCCGCCCCTTCTTTTTCGCGCTTCGTTCAAAGTATTGCCAAATATTTAGATGAAATCTCTTGTTGGACCCTTACGTATGGGGGGTGAGCCGAGGCTAGACGTCGCGCGGGTCATCAGCCGTGTGAGCAGCGAGCGTTGTTGGAGCTCACTGGGCGAGGGGTGCAAGGCACATCAAGGTTTCTTTGGGGCAATCTTACTCGCCAGCTACTCGTTTCAATGTCCAGGTTAGATCATTTTATGTAAGTGCCCACGTTGCTCGAAACTACGTCCTAGGGGGTACGTATGCATTCGTACGTGGCAAATGTACGTACGTGTTTCTTCTTCAGCGAGCCGATATCATTCCGTTAAACCATGTCTCATTTTCTTGCGCTTATGTACCATCAAAAATCGAACCAAACGTGCAAGGGTATTACATACATGCATTGGTACCTCTAGGCCACTCCCATTCCCCTCCATTCTCTGATTGATGTATCTCGTTCGACTACACAATACCGCCGTCTCTCGGGGGGGCAAACGGGCCGACCAAACTGCTCATGTACTGAAGTGACGGCGACAGAACAACCATTTACTTCGCAAAGCGCTGCCCTGAAGAACGGCAAGATATGTAAACAGTCAAGGTTCGACGAACACGAAGCGCGAATACGAACGGCCGCGAGGGTTTTTGGGACTAAGAAACAAACGAATACACGTCAACACTACCAAACCCCGTCTTGATATCCATCACCTCACATATCCCGGGGTAAGTATCTACCACACACAGGGACGATGAAAGGACTTCGTACTTTCGCTAGCAGCATGTAGACAATGATGACGCTAACCCAAGAAGAGTGTATGGAGCGAAAACTTCGCGTGAGGAACGGGAGTGCCCTGCACGACGATCGATCATGTGAACATACGAAGAGACGCCGACGACGTCCTATGGTAAAAAAGGGGCTAATGGTACGAGCATTACTGCAGCAGCGACCGCCTGGGGGTTCTAGCATAGGCATTCCAACAACAACGAGCAACCTTACCACGACACACAAGGACGAAATGCACAAGACCGGGTGGCATCGCCGGACTCTTTTTAACCTGACAGCGACTTCTACACGCCAGCTACAGACTAAGACTTTGTGCCGTGCGTGCTAGGGTGAAAAAACAAAGAGACCAGCTTGATCGTCGACAATCTAGAGAGTTACATCGCCCAAGGAGGACGAACCGAAATGCACGGACGACCTGCACTTCGACATCTCCTGGCCATTGTGATTTTGGCCACATTACGGAGGAGCCATCTTGTCGACGGGTGTTCTTTGCCATGAAAAAATCGTTTGGGGTATCTTGGGAGCTATCCCCGACTAGCGATAACCAGTTTCACCATTTTCGGATCCCACGTCCGGCCGACAAAGACCTCGATAGATAGACCTAAGGCAATCCAATCCCCACACACATACATAAATCACACAAATCCGAGATGGTATTCACCATGACCACGCCAACCTACCACTACCACTACACTACCCCAGCATCTCCATCGTCTCCCCAGATACTCCCCACAGGCGATTTGCTAGACTTGCTTCGTTGGGATCTTGGGCTTCCCCCAGCGTCGGCCGTACGCAGTGGAGCAGGTCTGATTGCTGGCGTCTGGTTGGCGTCCATGGTGTGAGTGCCCTGAGGGGACCCGGACCAAAAGCGACGGCGTTTTTCAAGAATGGTTCGGGGATAAGAGTCGTTGGCGGGATGCACCGCTCTGTAGGTAAGATTCATTTAGACCAGCCGAAACACTCCCTGTCCGGTTGTTCATCGTATGTACATGACATGTACCAGTTCGCTTGTTTTCGTGCTTCGGGACATCGTTCGCTGGCGGAAGTGAATAGTTTCTCGCGCTTCCTTCTCAAGGGCACGCAGGGGGGTCGTCGGTACGTTACCGAGCACGCCTGAGGATCGTCAACCGCCCGTGGCGCGTGTGCTTGACGCCTAAAGTTGAAAAAATGGTTCAAAACCCCGTGGACGTGTTCCGCGCGAAGAAAGCCGTCGCAAGAAAAATAAAAATAACGTTTCGTGGTATACAGTAAACAGGAAGACTTTTGATTCCTGCGCAACGCACACAAGCCCCACAGACCACGGGCAACACGATACATGAGAGCGAGTGATTAAACGCAGCGAATTACAGCAGTAGGACGTGCAGCAAAGATGCCACTAGCTTTTGAGCTCGCAATCACGCACACACGAAACCAAATACCCCGCACATATGCATACATGATGAATTTTTCCAGGCAAATTCTGCAGGTTGTACGCAAAACCGGCAATACCGAATCTCATCATGTTGACATGCAACGATGCGACCGCGATGACATTGGCCATGTCCTCTTGCGTCGCCCTCGGGAGGCAAGCGACCTAACTCCCGAAGGGGAGCCTTGTATCCTATACTACACGTCCCTCACATTTTCTATATACCTGAAATGCGGTATGGCCTGTTTTGGGGAATAGCCCCGATTCGAGGGCACAAGTGAAAGACGTAGGCAGGGGAGGAGTATTTTTTCGTTTTCTCGTTCGAACGAGTTTCGACAGCTCGTTTTCTCACCACCAACAGGCGCTTTTCTACCGTATAACTACGCAACGCACGATGAAAAAAAAAAAACTTGGTTACGATTGGCACGCACAACCAAACGAGAATTGAAACCTAAGTTGTCGGGGCGGCGACCGGAGGAGTTGGTCGAAAGCACTAGAGCGCGCGCTTGCGCGCGAACACGAACGGCGCCTAATCCAACAGATATCCTGCTCAGCAGGTGGCCGAGAGAGCACTCACCGCTGTGCGGGGGTTGGTGTTCACGAAGGAACGGTAGGGCGGGGGTTTTGAAGGGAAGTTCCTCTGACTTACGATGTCGTCATCCTGCCCGTAGAGCTGATTGGATCTCTGTTCGAACGCGGAAGGAGCAGGCAGAAAAGGCGAAGGTGTTTTGCACGAGATAGTCCATCGCCTATTTTTGTAAGTCTTTGAAGGCCGGGGATAAGCGCGAAAGGAGCACCACGCGTGCCATGCACATTATTCTATATCGCACCCACTAGCTCGCTGCAGTGATCGCCGCCAAACCTCACAAAATATTCAGCCCATCGACATAATGCAGCCGTAGACGCCATTTCCCGGGGTTTCCGAAGAGGAAGCCACGGGTGCCTTTGAAGATTCTTCGACGACTCCTGAACTCACATTGGCTGCTCTGGTGGTCTTGCCCTTCTTGCCGCCCATGAGATTCAGGAAAAAGATGGTAACCTGTACGTGCATGGGGTAAAGGGTGCATCAGGATGAGGAGACACCGAAAGAACGAAAGACGTTGAGACGAAGGTGTGACTGGTGTACGACGCGCATACAAGCATTTGGCCTGTGTTCACGTCCCTCTGCGAAAAATGGAGCGCCAACCAAAAGCCACACGCTTTCCAAAACAAACCTTCTACGAAAAATGATGCGCCAAACAAAAACCACACGCTTTGCAAAACAAACCTTACGAGCTTTTCTTGCCCGGTACGCGTGCGTGTGTATCGCCAACAAACCAGCCGGTGCAGCCAATATCCAAATGACTGCTGCAGGCGTTGAGGGGCGATACGGTGCTTCCAACCAATCTACCGCTCGCTGGTGATTGGGGGTGCTTCTTACCACTGAGACGGTCGCGCGGGCGCCGCGGCCGGAGAAGTACGTATCAAGCGCGGGGATGACGATGGTCGCGACTGTTGGAGGAGCACCAATCAACACGAGCACGGCGGTACGAGTACAAAGGGGTCGGGAGTGTAACGGGGCGTAATTTTGACACGATCATAAGCACTTGTGATGGCGGTGCGATATGCCTCTACAACTGAAATACAAGCTGACTCGACGCCAACTGTATACTGGGATCCCTGGGTAACCTAGGAGGGCTGCCCCACGAGTGCGGTAGGACTCAGTTTCTTGGGTTGTGTCTTGCATCAAGAACGGCACGCCGCAACCGCAACATTCCTATTTGCAAGCGCTGTAGCACCTCAATGAGAAGCCCGTCTATGGAAGTGTACACATATACATCTACAAATCAGTTTCAAGCAGAGCTCAGACTCCCAGCATTTCACACTTCAAACGTCCCAACATACCGGTATGTACTTTCACGAAAATCCTGACAAACAGCATGCCATTCCCGTAAGTTCCTGTGGCAGAACTTCAGTAGTGATTCCACCTACATTAAAAAAGGTTCTCTATGACGCTCTCAACGCCGCAACGCTTGTCAACCCATGAGTGTACATGTTGCACACACGACAGAGTCCTCTACGGCTTACCAGCCAGCGCTGCCGCACTCGCTGACTCCGCCCAGTTGAAGGAGTTGGGCGCAATTTTGCTCGTTCCCACACCCCAAAAGAACATGGCGGGACTGAAACACAAAATTCGAAAATATATGTTGGCAAGTTGACTGGGTGCATTTTTATCGTTCGAGCATGGGAGAGTTTTTCTACCAGAGTCCTTCTGGACCAGCCTTGTACCAAGTCCGAGAGAGGAAGGGGAGATAACCTATTCTAAATTATGGAACCAAGCGGCGTCCAAAATGTAATGGGAAAGGACTTCCCAAACCCACTGTTTTCTCTGCGCTTGCATTCCCAGACATGTAGTGAAGTATACCAGTCATTCTCATGCAACCAAAAGAAAATACATCTATCGAATTCAAGGCGCGCCTCCGGGGAGGGCTCATCAGAACATAGTAGTGGTGTCATCAAGGCGTGATGCAAGATGAAAGTAAAGCTGCCAGCTGCCATCAGTTAAGTTTCCAAGCTCGAACAGCTCACACAGCTGATGTGTTTCAGAGTAGAAGGGCCCAGCAAACCTCAACGAACAAAAAATATTTTTCGGAGAAAAAAAATTCAAAACAAAACTGCATGGTACAGCAGTCTTTCATAAAAAAAGTGCAGAACACGCATACAGTCTATAGCGGCTGCGTGGGTATCTCAAACGCGCTCTGGCGTTCGAAACCGCTTTGTCCAGAACGCACTACTGGTACACTATTCACAATCAGCAGACACACCCAAACCGTAATGACTCAGTGGGAAAAAAATGCTTTATTGCACGCAGCGAAACTCGTCCAGCTCACATTGCAAGGAAGTGCATGGCCGCGGTCCGCCTGATCACAAAGGAAAAATTAACGTTTTTCGTGTTGAAGGCGACGGCAGGCGCGAAAGTCATGGCATTTTACAGTCCTATTGGCATGACCATGATTGTACCTAGGCAGGTTGTTCATCCGGTTGAGCTATTTCCCTGCGTAGAAACGATACATTTTTGGCCCGCAGCCAACCAGCCGACGTTCCACCATAGCTACCGAGGAAGAGTGGGAATAAAACCCGGCCGTTCGGACATGGTTCTACGGCCTAGAAGTTCACGCGACTGAGGGAACCGTACCTCGCTCTTGTGTTGGTGGTTTCGGGATCCCGCTTTACGCTCATGGCGGCCCCCCACGACCAAAACGGAGCAATGAAGCAGAGGACAAGAAGAAGGTACAACGGGCCGTCCCCGCTCTCATCGAACTCAGGCAGCAAAAGCTGGAAGATCTTTGCAATCCAGACGGAAACGAACGCGATCGTGTTTCAGGTGTTAGGAAGCCATTTTTCGATGCCGGCCTTGCCGTAGATGATTGGTTTAACGGTTCTTCGGTCAGGCAAGCCATTACCACGACAGCGGTGCCCGTGTTACCCTTACACAGAGAGCCGTGATCACTGCCCGACCATCATTCGTCCGTCCAAAAGCACCAGAAACCACAGAACATCAACGTAGGCAAGAGTATTTGTCAGTCCATGATTGAATCGGTGTCACACACGTATGACAGCATGGACGACTACACACTTCGAGGGGACAATGTCCATCAACACCTCTGGCCTACCTGCATCAAGGATTCAGGGGCTACAATGAATGGCTACATGCGGCGCTATCCCACGTGCTCGGAGGGCTACTCCCCCTTGGAAAACCTGAACACCGGCGCGAGGGAACGACGGTGCATGGGGCAGGCGGCACTAACCCCGCCAAGCACCGGCGCAGTAGCACACAGCAATGCTCTGGGTGAGTCCCGAGTGCAAGACAACCTATACAATACCATCGAATTTTGTGGGTGTTTGTTCCAACGTGTGTTCCAACGTGTACGAATGTATGAGGTTCGTCTAGCACGGAGACAGCAACCAGGGCACGCTAGCATAAGACATGCGTTGCATGCTTACCACGATAAGATTTCCCGGGATGAAGGCTTGGATCTTGGCGGCGACCGTGGAGTCATCCTTCCGCTTGGTTACGTCGGACTTGCGGGAAAGACAGCGAAGCACAAGTGTAGGTATAGTACGGAGCCTCGTCGAACGGTTTTGCCTCGTCACGTTGAGGAATCAAGTCGAAAAACGACGCAACATCGTTTCAATCGAACGGCTGTGTAACATCCAAAAGTACGTGTTGGTACGCAAAAAAGCAGCCAAACCCGAGGCGCAACCGTTGTATAACGCAGTGACTGCCCCGGTTTCTCCAACCATTGGAAGCTCTGGTCATCTGAGTGTCCATGCCAGTGCCGGAGGAAGACAGAGGTTGAGGGCAACGCCTGTGGTGGGCTGACTGACTTGTGGAGTTGCCTGGTCAAGCCGTTTTCCTCGGGGTCTCGACAATTTGTTTCGACTACCCTGGCGATTAACGCGTGCTCTTGTATAGTGTTGCGTGTCATGGCAACGTGATATTGGGAACAGGGGAGTTCAAGCATCGGGGTCTGAGGACATTGCGGACTCTCCCAACGACCTCCAGCGCCAATACGAATAGCATGTCCTCGACTCGATCTTCAACGGGTGAAACTAGCCTTGAATAGGAAACGACAACGGAATATTGGCTGAAATTCTCGAAGGAAGCCTCAGCTAGAATAAGTGGTGACTCACGTCCTTCAGTGATTCGAGCCTTAACATAATGCGTTAGAATAGTGTTGTTCGACCCAACTGTGTGGTGAGAGGATTCGTCGATTCATGGCTCTAGATGTCCATGTCATCACTGCTTGGGTTGGGATGAAGTTCGTTCGCCAAACTCCGGAAGAAACGTCCGAAAGGCCGTGAAACACCGGCCTGATGTCTGGGGGAGACAACATCGCTGCCTGCGGTGTCGCTCTCTCACCTTCAGGCTCGTTGTCTTCTCTCGAACTAGCTGTGCCATGGGCGTTCCCTCCTGAGAATTCATCGCTCTCCTGAGAGACGTCTGCGCATGGCTAGTTTCAACCCCCGGGTCCAAGAGGAGGTCGATCTAATGGCAAGTCGGCAGGTTTGCGAGGAACGCAAAGGTCGAGTGCCTCGGGTTTGTCAGAATCACGAAACCTGAGTCACAATTCTGCAAACGTGGTAACACATATTGGATATTTCTACATCAACGGCATCACGCAAAGCCTCTGGGCGAGGCGGCGGTTCAACCTGTTCTGGCTGGTTTCTCTGTACACAGAACCATCAGGAGTTCCCGAAACCGGTTGAGGAGATAAGGTGTTGGTGGAATAAACGCCAAAACTTGTAACCAAGGGCTAAAAGCAAACCCCGAGTCACTCTCTTCTCACCCCGAACCCAACGTTAACGTTAACCGTCGCAAATTTACCTTCTCATCGTGAACATCCCTGCGAAACGCGTTGAAAACCGCCTCGAAAATCTGGGTCCGTCCAGACATGATTGCGTGCTCGATGATACTTCTGTGCCATCCGTCCCGGGCCTCGAGCAGCTTGCGGTACTGCGTTCGAACAAGAGATTTAGGGCGAGCAGGGAAACGAGCCGCAATCGTATCTGATTCCGCTTTGTACTGACAGAGAGCAGCCGGCGCTTTACGCCTGCGATTCCAGTACAGCAGTTTCGAAACAATCATTGACGCATAAATGACGCAACTGTGGGTTTGGCACCATTGGCCATGTTGGAGGCGAATCCGGTTCACTTTCTCAAACTTTGGACGGCAGCAATTATTCGTCGTCTATCACCCTCGACAAAAAGGGGTACACGAATAGGCCAGGGTGCGATGGAACGCGCTCGTACTGTACGGCGGGCATTCTGGTACTTCACATGCCACAACAACAGAACTCCTGCTTTCAGAGGATTTGTAACGACCAGGCTTCAAGACCAACTGAGCCCAATAGGTGCAATGAAAGAAAAAAAAGCTTCTCTCGAAAATAACGGCAAACGGGAGGGTGGTCCGGGACGCGCACCTCGGGCATCCACAAGTTCGCTCTGGCAAACTCCAGCGCGGCCTGTATCACCGGCAGCCGCGGATCGAGGACGAACGGTACGTCCTCACTTTCTTGGCCCTCAACGGGGCCCCCGCCTTCCGTCACCGTGGCAAGCCTCTCTCCCGCTGTTGACGGGGGTTCGGTTGGCGTGCTCCCCTCCCGCCCGGCGCCGGCCGACGGTAGGCGCTCTTGCGGGGGCGCAGTTTGCGAGGGTGCAGTAGTGCTGGAACGGGTCGTAGCTTGCTCGTTGCCATTGCCGTTAACGGCGTGATGCAAAATCGTCATTCCGTGCGCATCCGTGGCCCGGATGACGTCCCTAAACTGTGTGCGTCGTCGATGAACGGGAGGGCAAGAAACCGCAAGCACGGCGGCGAGAAGAGGGCACACGCATAGCGACGTGTGACGCTGGGGGTCATTTGTTCGAATTGACAGGTCTAATAGGAACTACCATCTCGGCAACGGCGAAGGTCGAACCTCGTCGGGCGACACGGCATGCTCAATCTTGATTGGGCCTGCAATAGCCGGCTGTCTGATCTGTGAGGAACGTAGTCGGTACCGGCACCAAGCCGCCTGCTGGGTGCCCGATCGCGCGATTAAGGGCGGCGCTAGGACGGTGAGGGGCTACAAGTATGCTCCGAAATCGAGGAAACGCTTCAAGTATGTCGAGGGCGTCCACAACTTCCGCCATATCGGGGGGCGTACAAGCCCCAACGGCAACATGTTAGCTCCTAGCATGCGAACCCACTCTATCGGAGGCGCAATGGCTGCTTCATGGTCTTGAAAAAAGTAAGTGAGACTCGCGTGGAACTGCCGTACTCTCGACTGTGTGGTTCTAGTACTTCGTGTTTACTCACCTGTGAGGGTTGGACAGTCTTCGACAATGCTTGAAAGACGGCCGAGCTTGAGGTGGAGCAAGCGTGCATCAGCAATGTCATTCCCTCCACATCCACCATGTCCAGCTGTTTCTGCATCCCGTTCGTTTTGGCGTTCACCTTAAGCACGTTCGTTTTCCATTTTGGGAAGAAATTTTACTGTATCAGCGGGCAACAAGCCAGCGGCCGGTCTTTTTCTTGTTCGTGCGAAACACACCATGTATTGGATTTTGTTACGCTTGTCGCCAGCATCGGCGTTTGGTCACACGGGAGTGGCCAGGTATCCCACTTCGCAGGTGTGCCATGCATGCAACAACCAATCGAAGGCACTTGCATTTTTTTCCCGCCATAGTGACGCCCAGATCCTGGAATACCGCCTCCAGTGTCCATGTTTACGACCATTCGAATTAGCCGCGCGGTGGGTGTTTGATACCCAAGGTTGCCTTGGACACTTTCATCCAGAAGTTACTGCCAGTTTCTGCCTAGACCTTGGCGATCCCGTAGAGCTTACCATGTATTCTTTGTCCTCACCCTCCATGAAAACGTCTCCGAAAGCAGCAAGAACAACCCCTGCACCGCAACAAAATGCAGGAGGCGGGGCCGAAAAGGATGTGGAGGGTACTACCATTGAAGACCAAGCAGCCAAATACGTACACATACGTAACCTCCTAAGGACAATGGCAATGGCAATTGGTGAACTCTTGAATGGAGGCAGGAACCATTCGAGCTTTTGGTTTGATACAGCGTGTAGCGACAACCGTGAGAGGCAGTTTAACAATTTCTATTATAACCCTCCGACACACTGCGGAAGCTTTCCAACGCTGACCGTTCTTTGACTTTCGTCTACTGTAACAGCGTACGGTTTACGTTTGTGAGAAGAGAAAATACTGAGAGGGGGTTTAAAACGTTTGCTGGCTATTCGTTTCACCTGTCTGTTTGAGCGATCGCCTTACGCCTCAAACTGCTTTGCGCAATATGTAGACAGAAACAAGCGGCATTTTTCAGCTTTAGGTTCACTTTAAGAATGCTCAGCTGGACGGGTTAGGCTCGGACGCGGTCAATGCAGAACAACGCGCCCTTCTCTCCAGGTTTCTGGTTGAGGAATATGTATCACCTCGCGCCACCGGCTAGCGTTCATCACGATCGCAATCGCAACATCTCTCTATGTTGTTCGTCTTCAGCAGGCCACAAATTGAGCGAGGATGGAAAAGAAACCCGCCTATAGTAACCGCCAACAAATATCAAACCTCCTAGAACTATCGCCCTGGAAACGAAATACGTATCACACTTCGCCTGTTGGCGACGTCAGGGCTATCGAATGTGTCTGAGAATGCGATACCGACATATCCGACCTCCAGCGAGCACAGACAGCACCTGCTGGACGTAGCGAAAATGGTACCCATTGACAAACACTGCCGGGTTGGGCCGTGTGCAATCAAAAATAACCTTTCGATGCCCGCTCTTCAACACCTCACGACCTCACGACATCGGAAGTGATCATGGCGATGCGTCACCTAGTACCTGCTGTCTTTCACGCGTTTCCGATAGGATACGTATTCTAGCCATCACAGAGGCAAGAGCGGAAACACTTGTGGTGCGGAACATGGTTCATGTTCATGTTGGCGCTCGAGGCTCGCGCGGTCACACGGAAAGCCCCGCTTGTGCTAAAACTATTTCTGGTGGGGAACGTGGGTCACTTCGCACCTGCATGATTGGTGCTCCTGGCACTGTCTACATGACCTACATAAGTCGCTACCTTTCGATGTGTGCCGGTGGCATCGCGTGCGGACCCCCCCACATGTCCGTACGAATTCCCCCTGTCCTCCAGACGCGTTGCACTTTTAACCGCGATTCGGCGACCACAATCCTTCTGTAGCTTTCTTGCGGCGGGGATACGGGTTTGGGGGTGCACGGAATGTGCAAGGTAGCGCCTGGTCAAAGCCAAACCCGCCGCAATGCTGCTCCTGCGTGGTGCAAGGTAGCACTTGGGCAAAGCCAAACCCGCAAAAACGCCCAATATTGCTCCTGCGAGCAGTTGTTTTAACCTCACTCACGGCCCTGTTCTTGTCCAGAACGAAAAAACTAGTCACCAGAGGCGGTCAAACTTACGGGAGGAGGAAGGAATAATTTCGTTCTCCACGCCAAACTTACCGACGATCGGCATCTGGCCTGTCGCGGCCGCGGCCATCAGCGGAGTTCGAAGCTTGTGCCTCGTGCTGGCGCTCGGAGAGAGTAGAACTGGCCTTCGAAGGTCTTCCCGCATGCTGGACAGAATGTTTCGCACCACGACAACGTCGGGCGGTACAACTCCGATGGCATCCATCAACTCATCCTGGGAGCGAGCTATTTCCGACCCAGCAGTCAGGCTGTGTAGGGACGCGTGCACATGGGCCGCTGGAGACGTATCCTACGCAAGCAGAAGGTGGAAGAAGGTAGGTGACCGTTGATGACAAAAACTCAGACTCCGATGCGACGGCTTGTCAATACTGCCGGCGCCTCTTATAGAGTGTACGCGCTGTTACCGTTAATGTCGTTCAACTTGTACACGCGATGAGTACTGGGAAATAACGTGCGGAAAGACAGCCACCTATGTAGTGCCGGTTGTCTGAACGCGCACATCGTTCTGATGTTGTCCTTCACAACCTGGGGGTGTATCGAGCATGACTTCCTGAGGATAGGTATGCCTGAGACGTATTTACCACAACGCAGTGCATGCCACATCCAAGGTTTGCTTGGGAATCACAACACATACACACAAGAGGGATGGCGGTCTCACTGCGAGAGCTAAAAGTCAACTTCTCCGAAACGACTGTCTTAGCTGCTTGAGTACCGCAAATTGTTTCCGTTGTGTGCAATGTGCAACCAGCCGCAGGCCGTGCATGTCTGACGCCCTGTCCCAATCGAACACAAACGGAAAGCTAGCCCACGCCTCAGTATGATCCACCCTCTTGTAACGAGCAAGGTACTTTCTAAAAAAATAGAGCAACCTACAGGCGTGTACCTCGGGGGTGATCGACATCCTGCTACTCAACGCCGGGCGGAGCGCCGGTCCTGGGGAGAAGAACCGAGCGATGGTGAAGCGTCCGACCGTGAACGACGCCAGTCCACGAAATAAACGCTAATCGTTGGAGGTTGGGGGTGGTCTCCGGTGAAAACCTTGAGTCATTTGCGGGACGAGCGTTCCCAGGTGAACCACACACACAGCAGGGGGGGTGAGGTTAACGGTTTTAGTCTACCGTTCGTGCTGACGCACCGCAAGCACTGTTGACTTGTGACGACACACGGGCCGTTTCGTCGCTCAGACCGGTAGCCGGGGGTACACGACGAGGTGTTTTGGCCCCAAATGTGACGCTGCGATACCTTGCGCTTAGCCGAAGGCGTGCCTCAGGCATGAGCAGTGAAGCCCGCCGCCTGCGAAAAATAATTTCTGGTATTTGCCTAACGCCAGATCACGTGCATGCCTCAGATGATTGATACATATGCATATGCATACATGTACGCTATCTGGACTGTTTCATGAAATGAAACTCAAACAAAATTCAAGAAAAATTTACCCCACGCATAGCAACGTCATATCGGGCTTTATCGTCGGTGGCTGTTCTCCGTGTGCTACCTGGAGCTGCCTGGGATTGTAGAAGGAGTCAGGCAACGGAACACCATCTCAGCAAAAAGTCTCAGGTATCGTGTAGTCTACACTTGATAGATGCCCTCTCCGGCAGCGAGTCAGGCATGCTTGAGCCGGTTGAAGACAAGGGCTCTCAGGCAAAAGCGAAGGGCATGCCCAATCGGGCTGAGCCTACCATGGCTCTATGAAAACGTTAGCGTCCTTTGCAGGATGCGATGGGCTTTTATACTGCTGTAGGATCATGTCACCCACGAGTCATGCAGCCTGGCGATGTGAAGGGTTAGCAAGTCCTTGGGCCACACATGGAGGATAAAGACCAACACCACCACCAATGCCGTTGCATGTCAAGTCTAGCATACTAGCAGCAGCAGTCAGTCCACGACACTGCCTGTCGTGGCCAAGACACCCATACCCCGGGTTCGACGTGGGGTGAGCGAAGGGCCCAGTGTGTTTCGGGCCGAATTGGTTTACGGTTCCGATGCCTGCCGAACCGTCTCACGGGAATGCGATCATCGGTAGTGGGATGCGGAAATAAAAAAAGAACATGCACCTTTTCGGCCTGACGTGACTGACTTCCAGCAAGAAGAGAAGAGCACTATTCCTCCTTCCTGCTTCGCCGTGCTTCCCGTGTGCTCGCTTCCTGGGGGGCCGTTGTTGGCCCTCTCGCGTATGCGCCGAAGATGAGTTGGCATCGGCACTCCGCCCTGCTGCACCATCACGGCTATCAAGGGTCTGCATTCCTCAGAACAATACCCCAGCAGGCAGGGGTGAGGACCGTATCGACCCTTGTGGCAAGTAGGGCAATACGCCGAGATTTGATTTCGCGAAGAAACCTCGCAAACAACCATGGCAGTCGGCAGCCGGCAATCAACAAGGGTGAACACGCATCGGCCTGCAACAAGAGAGTCTGTCACTGGACACGGCCCACGCCAGGTGGCGCGCGACCGACCTCAATCAGCGAACCACGAAAGCCGACGCAAGCCGACGCAAGATCCCCTGCAACAAATACGCTCGCCGCTTGCCCTACGCCCTACGCTGTAACGTACTCGAACCGTACAGTCCCGCGACAGTCCCGCGATCGCGGAACATGAGAATAACTGCGAACCGAGAAGCAAATAAACGTTGGCACTCGGCAAACGCGCGGAAGTAGATGCTCGGAAAGTCATTCACAGAGGGGCTCTGGGAAAGCGAGGAAGGAAAAGCGGTAAGACGGTTTTACTTAATACGTGGAAGTAAAGATATCAGCAGCAGCGGCAGCAGCAGGCGCAAAAAATGCCGCGAGTACACTCGGCTGCAGTCTAAGTCTACAGCAGCAGGTACCCATTTTTATGCATACATGTGTAGTATGCATGCAGCAAGTAGTCTACGGCTGTATTGGTCCTCACCGGAACTACTTGTATGCAACGAAAATGACTGTGTATCACGAGTGGGTCGGCACTACCGTAGATGTTCGTTCTCACCGTAACGGTAAATAGGTCGGGAGGAAGCAGTGGGATTGAGCTATTAATAACTAGCTGTAGGTGCCGCGAGTGCTCTGGCGATGGAGTACTACGTCGATCTTGGAGATGAAGCTGGTTGGTTCCGATCGCCCAGCACTTACTTGGGGCGAACAACGTGACGAATAAAGTCTAGATGCTTAGCAGACGCTTGTCAATGGGCCGCGGTATTGGGCAGCACCGCGTCAAAGTTAGGCTATCCATGGTGTACTCGCGGACCTCTCGTTGGCAGGCAAAAAATGTACATGTAGGAACACGATCGATCATCTCAGTCTCGTATGCGTAGGGCGGGTTCAACGCGTTGTATGTAGACTAGACGGAGATTCTGCTTGATGGTAGATTGACGGAGTTTTACGCCCACATTAATTTAGGTTTGTGTACTGCTGTAGATAGAGTGATTTCTCGCTCCTCGGGGGGTCGGCAATGAAATTTTTCCCACTTTTTAGACTCTAATAAATAGTGGTTCGGAGCTTGATGACTGAAACTCATTGTATTCTAGATTCTTGGAGAGAAAGACGAAGCCTCTACAGGTAGAGACCGTATGGGTTCGAGGCACAACGAACGGAAGGCAACTAACTGCAGTGCTTGGGGATGGCGTAGTAAAAAAAAAAGGGTCGTTCTTATCGACCAATAAAACACGAAAGAAAACGAAACCGTGTTTTCTTGAACATATACAGAGGCGTTTTTCCCCGAAAGCGTGAAAAGAAGAAGCGGGTTCTTGGGGGCTTGCTACTTTCACGAATCCGTGTTTTTGACAGAAGCATCGGACAAGCGCACCGCGGGCGCTGTAACATAACTGAGAACGCTAGAAAGACCTGCCAGACTCACGTCCAGGTCTGTTGTGGAGATGGACAAGCGGCAGAAGCGGCGTTCAGTCCGTTCTTGGCCCAAAACTAAGCATTGCGTGGTGCTCTCGTCTTCAACTGCTGCTGTTGGTGCTGTTTTTTTTTTTCAGTCACACATAGCAAACACGGAAACAGTAGAACGAGTACAGCAGCACCACCAAGACCTCCAAAGCGCTGATTCCTTCGGTTCGGCTGTCTATATGATACCATCTCCCGGCGCCGTGCTGCTTCGTGGGTATTGGGTGCTTGGGTGCTGCTCAATAAAGTGTGTGAGAGACGTGTGCCACCTCACCAAAATGCCGTTCGTTGGAAAAAATGCGGCAAGACAAGATGATCTGTTTTTGGTCGGACGCATCAACATCAATCCAAGGCACCACGCAGCAGTAGAGCAACAGGGCCTCCGACACGCTAATTCTTTCGGATTGGCCATCTATGATGCTGGCCGTCAGCGCGGCTGCCGCCCTATGATTGTTGAGCTCGTCTACCTTTGGGCACGTGGTGGTCAAAGATGGGAGTCGCAACCATGAAAAATGAGCTGGCAAACTGAAGAAATCGCAAGCAACACCCAGGTGGCGACACTCTGCCCTGCGCCTGTTGTTGCTGAAAACTGAAAACAGCAGGCCAGGTGGACGGGATCTTTCTAAGTGTGTGTGTTGTCCTCTGTGTCGGGTGCTGCGTATTGCGCTTTCACCGCTGCTCTATGGTGAGCAGTACCATGTCAACCTGTTGTGTGTCGAGCAATACGTGTATTCAGGGAAGGAAACGAACTTTTAGCGATGACATCACGATTAGAACAAGCGAAAAATAATCGGATCTTCTTTTCACCGTTCCGTGAAAAAAAGCGTTTTTTTCGTTGCGTTAAAACAATACCCTATATAAGTGGATGTCGGAAATTAGTCTCTAGACTATTCGACGAGCACTCTGTCTGCAATAGTCTCGCTTCTGCAGGGACATCACCGAATACTTGCAGTGAAAAATTACTTACTTCGTGGCCAACAACGGTGTACGCATCTCGACGTCTCTCCTCCCTTTGGATTTTCTGCTTTTTCTCGCGGGCCGCGCAAAACAACGACCTGTGAGTAACGATGCCGCGAATCCAGGCCACCACAAATACCGCATAGTCTAGTCTACAGTAGCTGTCACCTATGACGTACGTACGGTGAACACCGCAAATTCCAGCACGATATACGCTACACTACGCTACGCCAGGCCATGTTAATGTCGATGACGCCCACATTGACATCACCTTTTGAAGCAGGTCTGCTACGCTACTGCAACAAAATGTTCGCTTCACCAACACTATTCTGGCAGCATTTACCACTCACTCAGACCAAAACCTCAAGGCGCCCGAAACTTCACCCACACGAGTGGCGCTGCCAAACTCCACGATGTGTTATGTTCACAGGGAAAGTGTTCTTCGTCGCAGGCCTTTGAATGAGCCATTTCTTCGTGTCTGAGTCACTATTTGGTTCAAAGCATGTCAAAAGATGCACAACAAATTCCGAACCCCATTCGATCCTACACGATTCCATCCTAACAGCGGCCACGTTTGGACCCCACAATGGACACAAGTAGCCCTCCAAGTAACAGCATTCACCCAAAAACGGTTGAAACAAGGTTGTGACGCTGAAAAGGAAGGAAAAATTATCCGCCAAATGTGCTGAGCCTTCAAGAGATGGAGAGTGCGACTCCCTCAACAAAACAAACTTCGTTATTCACAAGGACAGTCTAGTGGCAAGACGAGAAGTGAGATCGATCCAAACGCAACACGGACGAGTGCTACTGACGTGCAACTCGCAATAAGGTTGCCTAGACTTTTCGACGACCCGCAAACACACTCCGTACAACCCTTGAGCAGCGGGAGCCTATCCGCATGAACCTAACTCCAGCCTAAGACGGGTCGACCTCTCAAGAACCCGCACCTCAATACTCTTCATCCTAACATCCTCCTGAAAAACACCTCAAAAATAGTGTCCGTGGAGGGGTCCAGAAACCCAACGCGCCAACGGAAACAACCGATGGACTGCCGAAAGAAGAAGTGCCTGGACACCCTAAACGCCAATAGACAAGAGAAGGGCAACACCTCGCTTGGTCCAGAACTCCGACGGGTGCTTCCCCGCCCGGAGCTCCGCGGCAATGACGAAAGAAGGCCGTTCTCGCGAACCGGTGCGCAAAGGATACATGTAGGTGGGGCACACGTAGACGCCCTTGGGGGCCTTCTTCTTGCTTTCGACGGGCTGGAGAGGAAAAAAATCAGATGAGCACGTAGATGCGTGGCAGTTGGGTTTCGGCAAGGAAGAAAGAAGCGTTGTCAGAACGGTGTGCATATCGCCATCCAAAAGCTGCGACCGCCCTCATCGCGGGACAGATCGCTCGGGAATCACGAAGAGGATCCCGGCGTACAGCAAAGGGGTGCCAAGCCGATTCTGAGGCCAGTCTGCCTTGGCTTCGGGGGGAGCTTTTCAAGCAGATAGGAATAATTTCTTGTCGAATGCTTGTGTGTAACAAGGGTCAACGTGAAAAACAAATCAACACACATAGTCTAGGCCCACCAATCGAAAACCGTGATCCGTGAGGGAGGGGTGATTATTGGGGGGGGGGGACTCTAATTTCGATGTTTTTCGTAAGGGGCACCGCGGATAGAAAACACTCTGCAGTAGGTGGGTCAATGGCAGTTTTTCGCCCTTGTGTGCAAAGATAATAGGTGCACTGTAAGATTCAACGTTGCCGGTGGTTACGTGCGACAGCAAACCCAGCGAGAAGACATTTTGTACGCTTGGAATTTCGGTGACACGCATCTGGCACAAACACTCCATGGTACATGATGGGGCTGTCTGGAGTTTGGGGTAGAGTGATCGATTCAGCACCATGCCAACAGCACCAGCAAGACCGCTACAACCAACAACAAAATCAGCAACACCCACAAGATCCACACCTTGAAGTGAATGACAGGCATCTGGTAGAACAGCTCCATCGGAGGGGGCTCCTCCAGGCACCCCTCCTGTCGATTCCACCTTGCCCCGTCCAAGAACAACCCATCGCAGTAGGCGCCCTCCTTGGGGTAACTGCAGCGGGACGGAGGGGTTTCACGAAATGATGATGCCAGAGATCAGGGGGGACAGGGGCTCGGGGAGTCGGGGGGTGGTCGGAGGGCATAGCCAAGCGCGGTCGCAGTACTACGCACCCCCTTTTATCGCCGTAGTTGCGGCAACGGTGTTCCACTATCGGGGCTGAGTCAAACCACACCCTCTTGACACGGGTGTTGTTCTTCGAATAGGACCTCAACTTATCGGCTGCGGGGTGGTTGTCGATGCAACAGGGGCAGAGAACAAGAGATGCCCGTAGTGGCGAGACTAAGGCCCGCCAGCAAGCACGGCTGCACAGCCAGCAACGTTGTGCGACTGGAAATAGCAGCACTGGAAATAGCAGCACCTGCTGAGGGCCGACGTGTCTTGCCCCAGCACAGAAAACTCCCAGCTCAGGGTGTCGATTGCGATACCGTTTTTTCTCGCGCTCGTCTGCAAGAGTGCGGTCAGGAAACCTTTCCAGACACAGACAACACATTGCAGATGGATCGAGAGGGGGCAGGGTCGTCAATACGAGACAAAAGTTCCTTTCATGCATGACCCAATATCGGTGATGAACTTCCTACCGTTTCCGGACACGAGCGCCTGTGTAGAGCCGAACGTGCTACTCCTGCCGAAAGGTGGACACGTGACACGTTGTACGAAAGTTGTACGGTATTTCTGCTGGACAGTATCGCGGTACTGTACGTCTGGTGAGATGACGTACAGCCAGCTAGCCCTGTTCTGTTTTGTTTCAAGGTCAATTCTGTGAACGAGAACCACCAGCAGTGGTAGACACTGCTTCGGACGCTATGGACACGCCCACAAGAAAATTGTCTGCCATCGCTCACCGCTGGGGTAAGTCATGCATGGCAACCAGAATACTTTTGGCATTGCGACCATAGCCCAGTCCCTGATGTGCTCCGCCCGTTGGATGAGGTCGCGCATCCAAGCACCCAAGGGCTTGAGGGACGGGTAGCACTTTGACCACGATGTTGGCACCTGGGTGAGGGTGAGCGACAGTGTTAGGGGAAAAGGTTGAGTTGAGGAAAAGCATCAAGCAGGGCCAGGGGGTGGTTCGAGGGTGAAGATCAAGCTTTGGGTTGAGGCACGGAAGGCTGGGTGGGTGCAAGACGAGCGTTCAGATATCGCGTCGACAACGAGGACTGAGCACATTGGTCGAGGCAACGAAACATTGACATACAGTACGGTCTTGGAAACGAAGTTATTGGAATGTGCTACGAGGAACACAAACATTGGTTTGAGGTTTGGCAGGGTTCAAGCTGTATTTACCGTTGTCGTGCATGTCATACTCGAGATAGAGCGCCAACTGTTGATGGTGCAAAGGTATTCGAGCATTGCCCCGGAAAGAGAGAGTGATACCAAGACATGGAACATCCATGTCTTATGTAGGGCTGACTCGATTGGAAAAACACCGCAGAGACGATGCTGTCGGAAGGATATTCGCTAGAGGAAATGGGTGCATCTCATCATGGCCAGCTACAGAAGAGATGGGCCTGATTGTTCTCCAGGGTGAGCTATTTTGGCCCCATGCTCCACGAGATCAAAGCACCAACGCAAGTATTTTATGCTTTGCCGAGTTTTCGCCCCGTTCATGCGCCGATATACTTTTGGGGGTTCACACAAGAAGCAAGCGACGGAACCGAATCTCACTTTTCCTTGCAGCAGCGCCTGGGATATATCTTCCAGCTCTGGGGTGACAACGACCAGCCCCTTGACGGCCTTTTTCAAATCAGCCAGCTGCCGAGCTACTCCGTGCAGAAGCGAATTATACCTGTGGTGTGTCCGGTAGGGAATATATGTGGAGCGCGGTGCCGAACTTGATCATGATGAACCTAACAAACTCTAGGCGATACAAACGGGCGCACGTACGACATGACGATCCTAGGTGGTTACCAGACAAAAACATGACTCGACAAACCAACGTGTTTGTCGGTGGGTGACACTTGAAGTGGGGCTATCTTTCGGTGACTCTATACAGGTAGGTCGACCGCCTGCGCGTGAGCTGACTGAGAGGGCTCCTGGGTCAGGCGCTGGAGGGCTAATCCGCCCTCTAAGAAACGCCAACAGCACGATCGACATCAACCAAAGTAGATGCAGCAATGTCAGCAGCAGCAAACGGAACACACAACAATATCATCGAAAACCCCATAACAACATTGGCAACAAAAACAACAAAAAATCGTGCTCCGAGCACCTCTCAGACTCCTGCAGCAGGACGGTTTTCATCGGGTCAGGGTCCGAGCGCGATGCCAAGATGGACTTGATTTCCTGTAGGACATCGTCGTTGTCGCAACCGAGAAAATTGGACACAGGAGGGGGGCGGGCGTGATCGTTTCTTCCTTCCTTGTGTCTTTTTGCCATCAATCGTGCACCCCAGATGAGAAGGAGCGATCTACCAATCTGCGCTTGAGTAGTTCATGAGTTCCATGCTACCCTTCCCCCCGTCTTTGTTCGTTTCCGCTCCTACAAGGAACGGCAAATGGTGACGCCGCTTCGACACGTTGGGTCCCGTATATGAAGAGTTTTATGCACATTTTCCTAACGCACAAAACAACCTTTCCACTGTTACAAGCATAGTAGTTGGACGTGACAAAGAGGCTGCAGCAACAGGGGTGAACTGGGGAGAAAATCAGCTCACCACCGTGGCGGTAGCGCTCCATGTGCCGGCCTCACACAATTTTTTTCCCTCCTGTCTGAGCTACGGTATGGAGGGAAAGACAAGAGCTGTGCTTCACATGTGTCAACATCGTACCATGCCTGTGCGCTCGTATGTCGCCCTCGTTCGGGCTGGGCAGGAGTACCGGGTGCCCTTCGCACAGGCAATTACGTTCAACTCAACAACCGCATTTTCTCGCCGGGTGTCCCCCTCGTCGCTGCGGATGTCTGCCCAGAGATACTCCCCGTCAAACGAGGTACTTATAGTCACTGTACGATGGAAAGGGAATCGCCAATAGACACGCCGCGGCTGGGCCCACCTTGATGTTGAAGGCCTTGGGCACTTGTTCCGAGAGCAGATCGGCCTGCTTGCTGATTTTCTCTTCGTTCGCCTCACCCCCCGCAGACACAGCCTTCGGTGCCAGTGAAACCTGTCGTCACATGAACGAGAAGCAACAGGAGAGTGAACCGGACAGCAACAGTACAGATATCAACCGCTAGGTGCTGCTCTTGCGAGGGGGATCGAACAAACAATTTGCGCTTAAAAAACACGGCAGGCGGGCTGAGCAAAGAGGCATGCGAACGCTCGTAAACACGAGGGATGGATTGGTCGCAGCTCCTGAGTGGTGTATCTCTGCCCCCGCAGAGTTAACATCGACGGCAGTCCGCCTTGACGCCTGGCATTTTTGAAAAGGACCACAGACATACGGTAACGGAAGAACCCTTGCCAACCGGGGTATCGTCTATGGTCCAGAAAGCCGATCTCGCAGCAAATCGATGAATCCGTTATTCTCACTGCGGTGTTGGTGGGCATGTCATGGATGTGGTATGCGGTTATCACGCCGTTAAGGAGACGCTTAGCCCGCGCATCGTCTACTTTTTCTGTTGGTCAGCCCGCTCGTAGTCGCCCACGCTGATGAAGCTGCGGCCTTCATGTCAATGTGACTATCACTGACTCATGGGGATTATTTTCGGTGGATCGAGCACTGCACCAGGCTTGGAAGTGGTGCGGTAGGAACACATGGTCTGGTTTTATGGGAATCAATGGTTGAAAAATAAAAATGCGTGGAGGTAACGTATACCATGCTTTTGCTCTGGAACCGTCCCACGGCGTGACTCACCATAGTCCCGAGCAGGGCGTTGGTGTCTTCGATGAGGCTGGTGATGTCCGCGTTGACGTGCTGCCCGAACGCCGCAGGGTGGTCCGTCTTGGGAAACCTCTTGATGAACTCCTATTTCATCGTCAGGGTGGTGAAACGCCCGAAGCACGCTTTGAATTTGAGCCTTGCCTGAACCTTTCTTGCCCCCTCTTCTAGCCACAAGCGGAACCTGAGCAGCTACTGCGTATAGTTTTTTCGATTGTGTTGACATGTTATTGCCAACTCTAGGCACTACATCTGGAGAGCGACTGTTTCAATTTGAATATTGTCCTCGTGGGGCCAGTTGAGCCATCAATATTGAACGATTCAGGTAGAACAATCACGCGAGTCCCTTGCAACGTCGATGGCGGAAGGGTTGGTTTTTACCTCATACGAACGACCGTGGGCACACAAGCAAGCGCGTGGCTCCGCAGATCCGCTGTCCATCCCCCAAAAGCAATAACATAAGTAAAAGGCGCATGGATATCTATCAAGGGGTGTTGAAATGATGAAACGCTTGACTCAATAGAGCAAGGGGGGCTATGGGATCGGGTAACAAGAGGGAGTAAGAGGTGCGAAAGGCCAACAAATAGGTGTGACAACGAAAGGTTGATAGCAACCCAGTCCATGGTTCGTGGGAACAGCACGGCTTGCCTTATACGATTGGAGATCGCCATCTGGGGGGACGTAGTACTCCTTCAGTTCGGACAGGAGGAAGTTGGGCTCGTCGATGGCTGCGGGGCAGAAGTACTGGTTCATGTACACGTTCACAAGCCTGCCGAGGGTACGGCAAGAACACGCGTCAAGAACGCAGCGACACGACAAGGAAATCGATGTGCATGGACAAGCATTGACATCTAGGTTGAGCAAGGGGCGATGATGAATAGTGGTCGACCCCAGCCCTTTTCCGCCATAGGGGAACAAAAATCGCGCCCAGCCCTCTTCAACGAGACACGGAAAGATGTGCACAGGGAATTTTTCGGATGAAGGATAACTACGGCCGAAGCGTTTGGAACGCTTTCCGAACCTTGTATTCGAAGACGGAGGCTCGGCGGTATGCCCTGCTGCCTAGGAAAGCCGTGCAGGTCGTCTGGCAACAACAACCACCACGCAACAACACATAGAATGCCGCCATTTTTTCGTTTTTTGCGTCAGGGTCGTTCCCCGATTCGTCGAGTGGTGCATGCGCCGCGACCAGCCCAACACGTTACATCGTTCTAAAGACCATGAAGCTCTGAATCATGTACGTGGACTTCAGTACGTATTGCCACGTACAAGCGAAGCATCACCTTCTATCCCACTCGTCGGTGACCCTCCCCCCGTAGTTGGCCTCTGCGATCAGATACCTCATGGCGTCGAACGGTGGCTTGTCGGGGTACTGCCAAGGAAAGGTCAAAGGGGGACAACCTAGTGACGCAATCACTTCGCTGTGCAGAAAACAATAAATTCACTCAAAACAGACCTGCTCAATCTGGAAGCCGAAGCATTTTTTCTGTTCTTAGCATCTCCTGGTTTCGCTCGTTCTTCACGCCTTCCTGACACCGTTTGACCTCCAGCCCTACTTACCTCGTCGAGGAACACGATGACAAGATCATGGCAGATGCTGAAGTCCGACTCGTTGAACTCGTACGGCACGTTGAAGCCTAGGCTCTTAAACTTGCGGCGCTCTAGGAGGATGGCGTGGAACCAGGCAAGGGAAAAGAGCAGCTTCCGGTACCGGAAAGTCTGTCCGCACCGGCTGAATTGTTCCTGTTCGATCGTTTTGCGGTTTCCGTTGGGAACGGATTAAGGATTTAGTTGGATGGCTCGAGATGCGGCGTTTCTGTTGAGCCGAACCCAGTGGGGGATCGTGAGCAAAACCGTGGAATGCTTAGCGGAACGGAACAGGGAGGATAGAAACAGATTAAAAGTAGCAGAAACTAACGGTATCACTGCTGACCAACAGCGTTTAGTTGGGCGGTTTACTCCGCCACCGCCGCACGGCGCCGTGCACAGACGCTTAAAAAGAATCCAACCATGGCCATGGCTGTCAATGTACTCGTTCGTTTCATTCGGCGATTGAGTTTGCGAAGCTGACGCAAGGGGAGCCCAACTATTGCGTCCAACAACGTCGAGCCAGCATTTTTGTGACGTCGTCTTGAGATGTCTGGATGGTGAGCAGCACAACCGTAGTCGACGCAGAAACGGAAGCTTTCACCACCGTTAGACTGGCGAGAGAAACAATGACGTTTGCGTTACAGTAGAATATCCTTCAAGGGGTGTACTTAGGGGAACCCCCAAGGGGCCCTGCCCTACCTGATCTACCTGCCCTACCTCTTTGCTCTTTGTGCAAGTGCGCCACTCTGAGACCGGCTCGTTGGGCATGTGGGGGGTATGCGTACGTCAATCGCAAAGAACGTGAATCTTTCCGTTCCTAATACAAGCATGACAACTAGTTCGGGCTGTTACAGGTCGACGAAAGCCCTTTCGTCGCTTACCGGACTGACGATGTTATACAGCGTCGACACGTTGGCCCTCAAACCCGCCGGGGGCTCCGTGGTCATCTTCAACCCTCGCCGGAGAATCGAGATGGGGAACTTGGGGTGTGGTCCGGAAGAAAGCCACAGCCGAAAATCTTCGTGCGGCTCTCCGACACACAAATCTTCCACGATCTGAGAGGAGAACCGGTGGCAAAACAAGCGAGTCGAGGCGCTGACACTGAGGTCTGATCTTCGTTGGGGGTGTTGTTGTGTGGATACAAGCAGATAGGGAAAAGCTTTGAGGTTTGTGGTGCGGCCGGGACATCCTTCTTGTACCGTAACTATTCATGTAATTGCCAGCGACGAGAATCGTGCCATAGCAGGGAGAATCAATCGGTCCTACGGTTTGAGCTTCAAACATCTCCTACGACTACATATGTGTAGGGTGGAGAAGCGGGTTGTGGTCCCATGTTGAGGCCGAGCTCTCTGCCTTCCACCATCTTTGCTGTTGCTGCACGTTACCGGTCATGGAGATGTTTTCTTTCGGGTACATGTACATCTCCTGCCGACGAGACCCAAAGCATGATAAGCGATATCAACGCCGAGTAAACACCAATGTCTCATCGTTTCCCTCCGGTAGCAGCGCCAAACGAACCTTCTCTAGCTCAGGCATCCATGACAGCATCAGGTGGCAGTTTGCGAGGAACACCCAGTTTCCGAAGCTAACCCCGTCCTCTATCATTCGGATGGCAGCTGGAGCCTGCCCCTGACCCAAGGCCACGTTGGACATCTTAACCCCTTGAGCTACCGAAAGGGACTGGACCTGGGGTGGGTAGAGCGAACAAAACAAAAGACCAAAATTGGAACAGCAGTAGGTGGGATTAACTAACCTCTTGGCCGAACGCAGGGCGAACGAGATGATATCTACACGCTCCTGCCAGGGAGCACGGTGCTGGCTTCGAGGTGTTTCGGTGTATGTTCCCTCATCCTTGGCACAACCGCAGATTCAAAACAACATGCCCTTCCTGCGTCTCGAGTAGTTCGTGTTCCACTAATTGCTATTGTGTGATACTGCTGTAAGTGTCTATTCTGTTGCCCGTGTGTCAAGACTTGGTTCATCCTTTAGACCCGTCCCCTTGACCTCGTGCCATGGTTTGAGGTGTTGCCGATGACCCTTCGCAAAAGGCGGGTACTGATTCTGCCGCGACTTGTCCGCAAAGCTTCGACTGTGCCTCTCTTTACAGGCGTCTCGTGTTCCACCACCTTGCGGAGGTCTCTCAGCGGGTGAGATGGATGGCGTGGGATACACAGAATGGTTCTTTGCATTTCAACCTTCAAAGTTGACGATGATTGGCAGTAGCAAGAAAACACACAGAGAGTAAACAGATATCGCTACCCTACTGTCTTATAGTCTCTATTGCACCCACCTGAGCCGTGGGGTCCACTCCCGGCGAAAGCACGAAAATCAGCGGTGTTTTGGGAGTAGATCCGTTGAACACCGTCTGCATCGCAATCGAGGGCCACAAATTATTCGAGAGGAAAGGTTGACTTCCACGCTTTCGACAAAATGAGTGTGCAGTCATCAAGGGGCTCGCGTGTAGCCTGGTTGTCGCGCGAGTTTTGCTGGTGTCTTTGGGGTGAACTGACTGTGAGATATGATAGGACAATTTGTTCAGGGTGTTTGAGGGTGTACGCAAGGACACTATGACGCCAACCAACGCTAGACGAACGGTCGCATCCTGCACATTCATGCCGACGATTCGTTCTGCACTTGCTTGTGCACAACAAATCGCACACAAGTACAACCGGCGGCAGGACAATCAAAAGCACAAAGGCACCTTCAGATCGAACGCCGGCGGATCAGCGAATTGGGGCCCGAGATTGTTGGACACGTAGGTCGCAGCCGAGAAGAGAATGCGATCGGCACGAAGGGAGCGGAGGACGCACAGCCTCTGCAGGTCGGAGCACTTGTTTTCCCAGTCTCCCGGTAGAGGGGACTCCTCGGGCTTCGCCGACAGGAACCACGCCTTCCACTCTCGGGGAGACTGTCGTGTGTCATGGGCAGACGTCATGACCGCCGTGCGGGGAACGCAAACGTTTGACGAACGTCGAGACATTGTATACGCCGTGCATAGCTGTCCTCTTGACCTTCCCGGTCTTCAGCGGTGTTACCATTACGCGTGCTTGTAGGCAAGTTAGGAATAAACTTCTCTGAAAAGTAGGCCGGCCGAGGATACAATTCTAGATATCTTGAACGTGCTTCCTAGGGAATGAACGTCGCGCTAGGGCGCTCAACATGCACGCTGATTCGGGTTTGACCAAACGCTTCTGACATGAGATGCTCGCGACAGCTCGCCTGCTCGAAGGAAAGCGCCAAACCCGAGAAGGCGCCCAAGTTGTCGAGCTCCGTGATGTTGTCCCACGCGGTTTCATCGACCCAATCTTTGCACGGGTTAGGCCGTTGCCCTGACCTGCCACCGCGCGAGCAACACAGATGGAGAGAACATCGCTCGCGTCAACTATACACAAACAAAAACGAACAATAAGCTGTGAGGTCAGTCAAGCACTGCCATTCCAAAGGGGAGGTAGAGGAGAGACAGCACTTTTCGGCATCGATGCCTACATTGTCCACGAACGGGCCGAGACAACCGCCACCTCTAAAACCCCGACTCCCCCCTATCGCCACGTGCAGCACGGTCCAATTGCAACCGTTACAACAACGTACACGTATCCACGCTCGCGAAGCTAGCACGATGTTCTATGGCAACACACGCCTTGCGGTGCTTCGAGTATTACCTTTCGACAACGATGCCTCCGTAGAGCAAGAAGTTAAACTCGTCGGCGGGGACCTTCTTCTCTTGCTCCAAGATGCGGAAACACAGCTGTGGGGTGGGCAGAGAGAGAAAACCAGGGACATAAAGGATAGAAGCATGCTACGTCTGCTGTTGCAGGCACCGTACACTGGTTTGTGCTCGTGGCGATATCACAGCGTGACCGAACGCCCAATGGCTGTGGCTAGACTCGAGCAGCAGCACCGACGTTGGAACGAGAGACCTTTCCCCAACGGGAATGCAGGGTTGAGTCCTTTCCGTGGTTAGCACCCACCTGAAGCTTCCCGATCTCATGCGTCAGCAGCAACACGCAACGATATGATCGTCATCACCGCCACGAAAACCGACGACAACAACGACGACGACGAGAACGACCGGCTGTAGAGAAAGACGCGGCGGCGGCATTGGCAGCAGTCATTACCTGTAGAGAGAAGAGCAGCTTATGCCTTTCGAACAGCCCCCGGCACGTGTACTCGTAGACGGATCGAGTGTGGTGCTTGTTGATGACATCGCAGCGGTCGGCGACACCATCCTCCTCACCCGTCCTGCTGCACTCGATCGAGGCATTGAACAGATCCACGTATGCATCAAGAGAAAACTGGACGATTTCCGTTAGGGAAAGGACGTATGTGTCGCACGATTGCAAGGGAAGTGGGCGCGGGGGGGGGCGGGGCGAGGGGGACATCAGTGTGTGGGAGGAAAAGAGGTAGGGGATTGCTGTTCCACTCAAACTCGTATCGCACGGGCTTGGTGGTAGGGGGGATGTCATTATACGTGTGGCCAGGCGTGTCCGAGTTAAACGTAGCCTATCCTAGCCTTCTCTAACCCTTTCTCACTTAAATTACCCTCCTATCCTATGGTAGCCTAGCCGAGCCCGAGTTGAACCGACCTGATACATCGGGTCCACCCTGGAAAGGTCGTCAAGGACAAAGTAAGCCACGCTCGCGCGAATGGCGGCCGACCGGTAGCCTTCCCTTGCAGCGTCGATCTTCACCGCGGTCTCTTCGGCGATCTGCGTATGTGTGAGGAACGACCCGATAAATGTTTGGTTGGTGCTGGCTCGGCGTCACCTTGAGGGTGCTTGGATTTGCTGTGCACCGTGCGGCGTACTAAATATCTGTTGTGTCGTCGACGACGACAGCAATAACCTTTAACCTTTCCATCAACAACACCCAACAACGGGAACAGCAACAGACCTGAAGCTGCTGCGTGACTTCCTCCGAGATCGTCTTCGAGTCCTGCAAAGTGTTGACCAGGTTCATGTCGTCCAGCAGCGATCCCGTAGATTCTGACAGCAGGCGAAGGATCTCATCCTCCAGATCCGCGAGTTTCTTTTTGCCCGTCGCCACCTGTCGTCAGAGAAGCATCGACATGACTTTGTAGTTGGGGTGTTGGGCTCGCGAACATACATAAGCGTATGTTTGTAAAGCCACACACATGAGTACACTCATGGGTACACTGTTAGAAGCAAGCGCTACACTAAAGTGGCAATATTCGCAGCACTTGCAGCGTGCTCTAAGAAGGGGATTGAATCCAGACACATCATGAACCTAAACTCGAAGCAACAGCGAAGTCCATGGACGCTTTTTTTTGTAGCGCCAAACGTGATGGGGGGTGGGAAACAGCTCATCTCATTGGTGCGCTCCGACGGCTGCAGCTTCGCCAATCGCCAAATGGGCACATGTGGCGTGTGAACCATCGTGCCTTACATCACCGCATGCTGCTGTTCTGTTGGTTGGGGTGCCTCTCGCCATGTGTCGTCAAGATCCTTGACGAACGCTGAATAAAACCGACTGGCGTACCTTTACGGTTAGCTCCGAAGACTGCTCCTCGAGCGAGGGTTGCTCCCTCTGCACCACGATTCCGAGGAGTTGTGCTTCTAGACCGAGCTGTTTCACGCTGAAGTTCACGACCGTGGTTTTCGTCGACACCTGAGATACCGAAACGAAGCAGCAAGATCGTGTCTATCAAGATCATGGAACACCACGCGACAGGCCAAGGTTGGTTGGAGAAATGGATATTTCGCTTGCGCACGAACGTGTGAAAGGGCACATTCGTGTTGTCGTGTGCTGTCATTGGGCACACCATGACATCACCAGTGAGACCCGCCCTAGAGTCCACGTTGTGAACTTTCATGTTAATGGGGATTCATGTCGCTTAGGTGTCGTTGGTGATGATTCCCTGTGGTTTAGTGGCATCAGCTGAATCGCGGAAAACAAGGGCAGGGAAGGCAATTCGAAAGTATTTATGCCACAGCACACTGTCTGCCCCGATCCTCTGATTCGTTTTATGCTCGGAGTCTTTTTTCTACGATTTTTTATTCAAACCCGAGCATTGGTTTCTCTTTGCAGCAGTGCGCTTGTTTGACATCGGTGCCGAACATTCTGGAAAATATTACGATCAACACGTGCAAGAGGGTTCCAGCGTAAAAATGTTGTAGTAGAGTAATGTAAAAGTCTCGCTTGTTGAGGAGATTTCCGTCATGTCTTGCATGTTTAAAAGCGTCGCCCTTCACCTCTGGTGTGTAGTGCGGGTTGCCGAGCTTCGTGGTGATGTAGAGACGGAAGTCGTGCGACCAGTCCAGCTCTTTGTCTCCGAGCCGCACCACCTCGCGGTTGCCCTGCTTGATGATGGCCTTGGACAGCACCGGTTCAATCGACGGGTCCAGCTCCTCTAGGACGTCCTGGCAAACATCGGTACCAACAGTGTACTGACTTTCACAGGGCGATCTAGCCATCGTGCAAGAGGGATATCTGGACGTGCGAACTGCATATTTTTTTGGACAGATGGAAACGAACATATCTCCGACATTCGCCCGTCTGCGGAAATCAAGACAGGGGTACTTGGGGGATGCGAAGCGTATTGGGTATGTACTCATGAGAGTTCATCCACAACAACACCGGTCTGATTATAGATCCAGCCCCTTCAGCTCGTGTGGCGGATACAGACGAACTAGGGTAGCTCAACGCACGCAGCAAAATCGGGTAGTCCGAGATGGGGTATCTATTCTTCTTCAGATGCAAACGGGAGAGAGAAATCCCAAGACGCACCACGGTTTTTTCACGGGAAGCGAGCGGTAGGGGGCTGGGATCAGGGAAAGGTTTTCGGATGCACAACCATTTTTAGGCAGCGTACAACCTGCATCCCGCATACCTGAAGAAGACACGGCAGTCCGTACTGGATGCAGTTGCCCATTTGGCGAAGCATATCCTTGGTGTTGAGATCCACCACAGTGAGATCGCTTCCCTCCATAGCCTTAATCCATTTGTTCGCCTGTGCGACACCCGTGTGAAAGAGGTTTTGTCATCGGAGAAAACTCCTGAGGCACCCGGCTGCATGCGTGCACTCCTCGAGGGAGCCACCGAACAAGATGGAGGTGTTCATTCTTTATGCTGCTTTTTCATGCGTGTCAGGCATACCATGACGTGAACCGACCATCATCCGAGAACTTCGCAACGGCAATTTTTAGCAGATCGCCAATGTCAGCTGCAACGATTCCTCAAACCGGTACTTGACAAGTGGCACGAGCTGCGCACGATGGGCGTGGTAGACGAAGACGCGCAGGCACGGCAGGGGGGCTCGTGTACGACAGCATGAGTCCTATGCTCAGTCCGTGAGTGCTGTGGCAACTGCTACTATCGTGAACTTCGTTGTTTGTTTGCCAGAGGCCGACGAGTCATGTCGCTGCTGACCTGGCCTTGAGGATCGATCATAAGCGGCCACCGGCTACCTCTCGTCACCATCACCCCGTTTTCCGTGCTGAACTCGTCCTTGGGGAGACCCTGGTGATGCGATGGAGTTGCGGTGGTGTGTTTAATCCCGAGCCGAGGGGAGGATGGCGTTTCGAGTTAATCCAAGTCATTTCTACACCTCACACTCCTTGAAATGGCTACACGAACCAACCTACAGGACAAACCAAGCACTGTCACCAATACGAACACCAGCAACAACAACAACCGCAGCAAAACTAGACGCACCTGAATATTCCACGCTCGGACATCCGTAGGTTTGGCCAGGAAAGCGGTGAAGCTGAATCCTTCCGTCGACGGCAGCTCCTGAGTATCGACATCTCTCATCCACCCGGACACTAAACCGTTCCTAGTGGTACCAAGAATGCTGATTAGCGCAACTTTCGGTCGATACTGCTTCTAGTACAAATGAACGCCTGACGAAGATCTGTGACGGACGTTGTTCTTGACAGGTCTTAGGGTTTTTCAAACCTCTCAACTATCCATTGAAAGAATCTACATCTCGTTGACATACGTCCTCGATATCATTCCACAACTTTTGGTCGTGCTTCACCTGTACACTGTGTCGAAAGTGCCGGCATACGACAGGAAGGCCGCCGCGATGAGCGAGTCTCCTATCAATCGCTCGATCATGGCTTCGAAGGTACCGATGGACGCCTGCCAGCGGACGAATTCCCCCGCCAGGCCGCTCACAAGCTTGTCCGCACGCTCCAGCTTGTCCTAAATAGCACACATGAGATTGAAATCGAGGATGGTGTAAGGGAATACGATGTGCGCCTCAAGCGGATGAGAGAGGATGGGGCTTGGTGGTCCTGACCTGAACCTGAGACTTCGAGGAGAGAACACAGGCAAGTGAAATTGCGCCCGGGCACCTTTACGGCGAGCAGTGCTACACGGTTGTTTGTGGTACGGATGTCTGAGCTGCTCATGTGAGGAGAACAACGGGGAGGCCTTTTCACCCCAACGGCTCTGAGACGATCTGAGATGCCTCGATGACTCCGTCGAGGAGGTTTAATGTTGACTCTGATAGTCTGGCGAGAACTATCTCACCTGTAGCATCTGTGACTCCTCCATCAGAGCGTTCTTCTGACCAACCGACTCGTCGTAGCGGTCTTTGAGGAGTTGAACCTGTCGTGGAATGTTACGCGGAGACCCACGGAAAACACACATTAGCACGCAAGACGAGATTTTGGGTGTGCTATTCTTAGCCGAAGAAAATAGCATGCAACCCTCAGATAAATGGAACCAAACACACAAAAAGTACTGCTTTCGGCTAAAGGAAAAAGGGAGCTAGTACAAATCGTGGAGAAGTGCTGGCTGCAGGGTGCTTGCCCTCGCGCAGGTCGAGTGGTAGTACTTCGTGGTCCAATATGAACCAGGCTCGAAAGCCATATCTCTAGATATAACAGTTGCGGGTTTCGAGCCTATGCGTCAACTCACCTTGGCGACGACCTCTGCTAACTGGTCCTGCGCGGCCTTCAACCCAGCCTGCTTGGTAGCCAGGGTCTCCTGCACTCAGAGGAAACACACCATACGGTTCGTGCCATGTTGGCAGTTAGGATTGGTGGGAAAATCGTATCACCGCATGAAACTGACTGCAACATCTCTCGAAAGATTGTATGGGTATATGTCGGGACGGGGTGATGTTCTCCGTGCCATACGAAGTCCTGCGACGCACATGGCAGGAACCTGTGTGTTGTGCTGTAGTGGATCCGTTCAACAGCGTTTAATGCTGTTTATGTTTCATTTCTCGCAGAGTCGACTGAATGTTGAACGGCTCCAATGTAGTTTTCAAGCGTCTGTATTTACCAACAACAACAATTTCCATTTTCTTGAAGATGCTTGCCGCTCGTTGTGGACTTCTTGAGGGCAAGCGGAAAAGCCCGATTGACGCAGACAAGCGCCTAGAACTTTCCGGGGCCTCCGAAGGCCAACGTGCCGTCGTGAACGAGCGATGCGTACGGGTTGTGAGCGAAATCCCTGGGCAAAGATGGAAAATAGACTCTTGACTACGTTGGGGAAGCTCTCCAAACCTTTGCTAGTCCAACGGAACTCAGGCGTTCGCGTCCGTAGTTCTTGCGAAAGTCAAAATCTTCAGGCAATCGATAACGTTGATGGAGATGAAAATAAAACCTTCCGCCAATCAAAACGAGACGCGCACGTACCTGAGCCTCTTTCAGGCGTGCGCGTTTCGGTGCGACGTCCTTGGCGACGTTGGCATACAGGTAGATTGCATGCACCCACACGCACAGCGCCGAAGCTGCAGAAGAAACCTGCGATACCATTGGGCACGCATGCGAGGCAGGAAATTATTTGATTGGTACGGAAGAGGTCAAGGAATGGGATTTCCCTCAATACCAGTCTCAGCGATGCGTAAAGTTTAGCGAGTTGCTTCGGAGTGAAATGAGCGGCAGGAGATAGCCCATGGATGCGGATGTGTTGAAAGAGTCATTTTTACATGAAGGTACTCCTTTGAAGGGAGAGTTTCGTCCCTTTTAGCAAGCAATAGCGGGGGACTGAGACAAAGAGCTCGGGGAACGTATAAAGATCACTTGGGCAAGGTGTACAAGAGTTGAACACTCTCGGACAAGACTAAGAGAGTTGAATGAAGCCGACATACGGTAAAGCCACGCCTACAACTCATTCCATCATAAGCTGAACGTTTCGATCGCACCTTCGCCACGTTCTCGAAGGAGAAGTCGGGGTTGTTGACGTACTTCTTCACCTTGGTCATAAGCGCGTTGGAGACGTTGTCCTTGTTAAATGTCTTGATCTGTCCACGACGAAAACCGGAAAAACCAACGAACAGAGAGGGCTTTCGTTCAAGTTCATCTTCCGTCATCGTGCTTCCCACCACCTACCGAAGGCAAGTTTGTTGAATACCTTGACAGGTATCTGTTTTTTCGGTTCCACTATCACTTCTCGTAAGGGAGCGTTGTCCGCCTTAAAGGAGTTGGAGCTGGTCGTTCAGCTACATCATCAATGCGGTTCGCCAAATACCTGCCCTGGGTCTTAGAATGTCCGGTGACACTAACGGCTCGGACATTTTTGCACAAACATGTTTCAAGGCTTTCGGAGACTATTGACTAGTGAATGCTTAGCACATTATTCACATTGAAAATTCATTCCCTGTGAGGCTAGGCCTTCCTTCCCCAATCCCCCTTCAATTCGGGCGAAATGAACAGACATCCCCGTGCTTGGTCCAGGAGGACGTGGGGTCGTGGATGACGTTTCGATTGACGAACTTGCGTGCGAGATTGAATTGCGCGGATAGTACCTGTGTGAGGAAGTTCCCTTCTCCAAGGGCCTTCTTGGCAGTGGCCCAGTCAGAGCCCCTCCCCATCATGGTCATTACCGCGGCCATCACGGTCTCCACCAGAGGGGGCGGCTTTGAGTAGGCCTTAACCTGTGGGACACAGCCAACCGCTGTTCATTACATTTCAACAACAATTATTCCGCGCTCGCCTAGAGAGCACTCCGGCGTTGTTATGCTGAGGAAGTACACTGTGATCACTCACATGGGCGCATGACTTCGGGGCCGATACAATTCGGGACCCCAGCAAGTGTTCGCCTTGGCGTCTGCGTTCAATTGCACATACTGTACAGTAGAGTGAAGCTGGGGGAGAAAAAACTATGGCGATTCTTCACACGCAAGCGTTGGAAGGGTGATGGCGAGGAGGGAAACAGCCAAAACTGATGAAAACATGTTCACCCTCGAACACTGCCCTACTGGCCTCCGGCCTTCAATCGCGAGCAGCACGAAGACGCCTTGCCTCAGTGATGGCGGTCTTGTCGAGTTTGTCGACTTCAATCATCGCCTGTTCCAGTGCCGGCATGGCCACCGCCAGATCAGCCTGGGCGTCGTCCGCGATAACCTGGCACTCCGTCGCGTCTTTCCCTATTCTCTCTGACTCTTGTTCCACCTGATACAGGCAACGAATGCATCATTGTTGCTGCCATCGGCTTCAGGGTCTAAGCCTGACATGATCGGCGATGTCGTTTACCCACTCGCCACAACAGGAATTCCCCTAGAAGCACAGATTGCTTCTGTTCTTGCTCAACGAAACGGTGACAAATTGCTGCATTTACTCATCCCGTTAACATCCAAACTTGGTGTACGAGGCAAGCATGAGGTGTGCGATGCCCATGGCATGGACATACGATACCTGTTGCGCTCTCATACTGTAGAACGTCACGTGTGTTACTCGCGATGGGGGCGGTTGGCTTGCACCATGCACGGGATGATTCGTATTTTCCTTTGAATACGGAAGTTCTTTGTTGCCTTCGGACATCGGGGAAGAGGAATTATTGCCTAGCAATCAGAACCGAAATGGCCACAACACCACCAACATCATTGGTACGGCGTTTTGATTGGTTTGATTAGCCGGACCAAGTACTTGCCTGCTTCTTTTGCTCGTCCGCCACCCTCCTTTCTGAGACAATCTCCACCAGCAGTTCCTCGCAGTCCTTCTGTGCCGTTGCCACCGTGATCTTCTTTGCCTCTAGCTCCACCGACATCGTTTCCACCTGTTGATACCGTCGTGCAAACATATTGATGGATTGAGGTGCAGCATAGTGTAACTACATGTCGGTTTCACTTATTGGCCGTGACCACTTACCCCCTCTTTCTCAGCAGCGCCCCATCTTTTTCCCCTAGGCGGAACCAACAATTGTGATATGCTGGCAATGGTCTGCCACTTGAGAGGATTTAGTGAACCATCTCGATGATTAGGAGTGTGGTTTAGCGTGTTGGACATAACATGACATGGTAGGATGTCAGAACTGTATCGAGCTTGGTAACCGGTATTTCCCGCGGTTCCCTAAAACAACGTTGCATTGCTGATTCGTTCCAACGAGCCTGGAAGAATGATACGTCCAAGGTTGCAAATTTCATTCCTGTGGTCAACAAGGTTGCTCGTTCTTGCAAGATTTCCGGAAACGTCTGTGGCGTAAATCTACATTCTGAAGCATACCTGTTCTCGTGCTTCCTCCAGCTTTGTCAGCCCGTTTCTGAGCTTGTTGCGCTGCTCGGACAGCGTCCCACGCCTTTCTGCCAGAATCACTTTGTATCCCTTTCAACGACCGCAATGGCAACAGATTGGCATGGTAAAGGGCAGTCCTTGAGTATCTCAAAACTGGGAGGGTGAGTGTCAAAAAAAGAGATACTGCGGCAATCGGTGAAGCTTCCTACCTGGCAGTGTCATGTACTCGTCGATTTTTAGGGTCGGTCGAAGAAGGAGTGATGCCCAACGTGTTGAGCTTACCTTGACAAGTTCTAGGAAGTTGGTTGGCGTAACGTAGTTGTAGCGTTTCAGCTCCACCAGCATGCGTTCGCTGGCCACCACCACTGACGTGTGCATGCACGAAAACACAGAAGCGACCTTCGCCCGCCGGGATTCATCCTCCATCTGTGCTCGAAACGTTGGAAGGAGTTCAGGAAACAGGTAAGGGGAGAATTTCCGCCATGGTTCTCAGGTTCAACGAGCTCTCGGAAAATATGCCAGCAGAATGCGCACACAACCTTCAAAGTCGAACCAACAGCAGCAGCAGCAGCAGCAGTAGCAGCAGCAGCAGCAACAGCAACAACAACAACAACAGCGACGACAACAACAACAGCAACAACAACTACAATGACCACACAAACACAAGCACTTGTCATTCCCTTGACGTACCGGAATGTCTTGGATGAACTTCGTGGCCACCTCCACTAGGGCATCGGCAGGCCAAGGCTGGAACCAGTCGATGGTTGTACAATTGACCAGCCCGGGGTACATTCGCGTGCGGTTGCGGAAGCTGTCTCCGATCGGCGACATCGCTAGCACGACGTGAAGGTTTTCCCGAACCCTGCGTTTGCAGCAAGTATGTTGAGAAGGGAAGTTATGGTAATGACGGTCGAGTAATCTAAACGACACTCCTGCTGAAATGTTTGCCTCTTGCTTCTGCCGCCTGGAGAAGGGGTACTCGTCAAATGTGGGGCCAGGAATTTACGTTTGGCAAGAGGCAGAACCGGACACGACAAAGATTACGCCAGACATGGAACACGGGAGAAATCAGCAAATGTTCCCCTGAACGCTCCTCTAGCCTAAACGATGAGGACAGACGCACTCATGGTGAGTTCTGGGGCACCCCCTGGAACAAAAAACGAAAACGTAGAGATCCTCTTCGGCCCCGCCGGATAGGCTAGCGTAGCTGTTGTTCTCGGGAAAACTAGGAGCATAACAGCACGCCGCACGAGAGGTAGCTTCTATGAAACCATCACACGAAGGTGTCGCGTCGATTTTGTTTGTCCCCGAGGCCTCACCTGTCGACAAAGAAGCCCCAGAGAGCCTCCGTAGTCTCGTCGACGCCAGCCTTCTTGGCGGTCTTCCGTACCCCGTCCAGCACCTGCGGGATCTCGTCCTTCCCGTACAGGTTCGGGACCTCTCCCGACTGGAGGACGTTGTTCACGTCTTCCAGGAAGCACTCCTCCTTGATCTACAGATTGGACGGGGGAATACCGGAAAACGGTAGACAAGAAAGGCTGAGTTGTGGTGTCGTGATTGGACGGGGGAATACCGGAAAACGGCAGACAAGAAAGACTGAGTTGTGGTGTCGTGACAGCAGCAGCAGGGTTCATCGAAGTTGAATACGAATCAGCATGAACCTCAAATCGAAGACGACGTCCAGGAACAGAATCGAGAATCTATCGACACTCGGAGGAGATATTCGGAAGAACATAATTCTTTCCAGGTCTGATGCGTTCGTCCACGTGTTTCGGGAGATACATCACAGAGTTCCAAGACAAGCAAGGTCGGAGTACGCGTGAGTAATACATTCTGCTACGAACCGGTTCATAGCTTCGGAAATAAGTTTTGTTGCCCATTTTGCCCTTTGTCATGACAATCAGCACGCCCAGAACCCGTTTAGCTCCCCATTTTCCAGGAAAACGCGGTAAGTCGAGGGCACGAGCTTGTTTTAAGGAGCAGACGGCAATTTGTGCACCTGATTGTCATTGAACAGGAAGGTAACCGGTTTCCCGCCCACAGCGGCCTTCTCGAAGAGTACCTTGAGGTCCTCTCGGAATTCAACCTGGTATTGGTTGATGCCAAAAAGGTCGTCACGCGAGCAGGGGCAGAAACGAACATAGCAGGTGGTTTTCTACGAACGAGGTACAAAATATCCTCCAAACATATTTCCGGCCTCGTCACAACAATGCGACACATTCCCCTAGGCGACGCGGGGTTCTGTGTCTGGGTCAGTTGCGGTACTTCTCGCGTGGGTGCACATATCGCGGTGTATCGTGATTGAACCCCAGCTAAGGCGTCGCAACCCTGCACCACCCTCAACAAAACAATACTATGCGCCTTCGACCCGGTGCACCAGGGCGTGGAAGGAGGAGGTAATTTTTTGTATTTTCTACCTCCACAAGTACCAAAGTACATCATATCCGTGGGGTTGATCCCAGTCGATGCGGACGTGCGGCTATGTACGATGCTCGGCTCACTTGGCGGTAATTCTTTGTGATCTCGATGGTGAAGAGCTCCTGCCCGCAGATGTAGGCAGCCAGTCGAGTGAGGGACTGCCGCCCCGATCCTCCCACGCCGACCAGCATCAAGTTTCCCCGCTTCAGGCTCAGGACGCGGTGAATGCGTGCCAGGTGGCAAACGGCGTCCTTCGTGAATTATCAACGTGCGGAAGGAATGACTTAATTTCAATGTAAAGTGGCAGGGTCTGAGGAGTGTCTAGCATTTTTCTGGGTCTGGGATTTAGATTTAGAACACAGGACCGACAATAGTAATTGTTAATCAACATGTTTTTCACAGTATCCGCCACAAACATCAGCAAACTCTGACGTTCACGATTTCAACAGCATGCGTGGTACGTCGTACGAATCGACTGAGTACATCCAGCATCGTTGAATCCCGCACAAGTTACGGTACCTTGAACAATACCAGCTGCATGGACACCAACTTCGGTTCCATGTTGTAGTCTTCTAGCCGCTCCTCCAGAACTTGCCTCAGCTTTAACAGTGACAGTTGCTCCTCGTAGCTGAGAATTCATACGACGCACCAGCACCCAAGCATAGGGAATGAGACAAAGACCTACAGTTTGCACACCGGGAAACAGACCAGTACCAAAGACCTTATGCCTTCCATCAGGTCCCGTCCAAATGTTTCCTGACATAAGCATTGTGTCAATGGTGGTTATCCAAATCAAGACTCTTCAAATGGTGTGAAGACCAAACGCTGGCAACAAATGAGTTGTCGTGATACCTGATGTCTTCATCGCCGCCTTCCCCGAAGCAGGCGGTGAACACGGACCCAATGGTCTCGTCCTCGCAGGAGGAAAACTGCTCGCCCCAATCGGTCGAGAATGTGACCTTGAGCTGAGCGTTGATCACCTGCGCATTGGGTCATGATGGGCGCGAACAACCGCAGCCCTAGCCTTCAAAACGCGTTGTCTTGCGCGCACGATAACAATGGAAGTCTTCATGCAGTCGAGGCGCACTCGGTGTGAGACATGATAAATGTCTTGAGGGAATCCCTAGGCGGTGTGCCTCACCGTTCCGTCGCGCGAGGTGTTGTGCGTTTTTTGCGCCGTGGGATCAATCTTCTAGGTTGGACGTGTCCATCCCAAGGTTGCACCTACGCCGTTGCCCTTTGATGAGTCCATTCGGGTTTAATGATACCCTACCGATTGAGCTCGGCTTCAAAAGAGAGTCGGGACACCATTACCACAACAACCTTCGTGACGGCCGGCGAGGAAATAGAGTACCTACATAGATGGGGCATTTCTGACAAGGTGTATGTGCAACTGGCAACAAACGCGTCTTCGTGAGGCAGGTGGCGAAGAATACCGAATCGCAAGGGTCATACCGTACCTCGCGGAAACGGCCCTGGTCATCCGCCGCGTCTTGCACAAACCGGTCCGAAAACACTCGCTGGCACTCGTGTGCCCAAAGTCGGATCGCCGCCTCCTTCGTGTCCACCGTGGTCGGCGATGCCTGCAAACGAAAGGCGATACAGGGTCGTGGACACCGGGCTGTGTTGCGCTCCCCGATGGTGTCTGAGCTGCGAGCGCCGATGGTCTCATCGATGAACACTCGAATAGGTGGGCCTTAGGAGTGCCGCTTCTTTTGTTTTTCGCGGTATAGAACGATTCTACTGGTCTTAATTCTGTCCTACGGGGAAACACGAGAATCCGAAAGGGATTTGTTGTATTTTGCACTAGCGGTAACAGCTATCTGCAACACTTGGAATGCGTTTTTTCGTGTGTTCAGTTTCCAACTTTCCATCATTATTATGCTATCCCCACGTATATAGTATTCACAGCGCACAATTTGCGGTCATTCTCGAAATTTTCTTGCGTGACTCGGCAGAACACAAGCGTCCAGCCATTTTGTACGTCTGACCTGCATCACTCCTTCGATGACCTTGGCGACGTCGCGCATGTTGAACAAGTAGTGTGACTTCACCGGAGTGGGCAAGAACGTTTCCATGGACGCTTGGTAGACCTGATGCGGCCGGAAACACGAAATATGTATTTAGAGTTCGAGCGAAAGGTTGCCACTATTGAGATACTGCGCGTGAAACGTAGGCTAAGGTGTAATGCCTTTCGGAGATGGAGGTCGGCGAAGGTGCGACGTCAGAGGACCTAATCCCATTGGCTTTCCGTACGGCTCAAATTTCCTCGCGGGTCGACGCCGAATCTGGCACGTTGACCTTGGAATTCGGCGCTGCTAGATGTCACAGCACTACGCATTCTACGCGACGCGCTTTGGAATGTAACAGGATGGAGATACCAATACTGGTGTGGCTTTGGTAACACATGCGTGCTCCAAGCTCTAGCCTGTCCTTCAAGAGTCAAACGCCCAAGACTGCGGTGATCACACTCGTACCGTTTTTTTTTAGTGTACGTCCTTCCTTACCCGTAGCGTCGCCTGTGCGATATGAGAAGCCAGGGGCTTGATCTCCACGTCAAAGTCGGCCAGTTTGGGCGCCAAGATCGAATCGAAGATTCGAATAACCTGCGATGGCGCGTGGTTCGTTAGGCAGTAAGAAGACGCAACGTTGGCCTTGAAATCACGCCATGCAGGTTCGAAGCGATACGGTGGCTTCGTGCGCATTGCGGCTTGGCGAGGGTGGCCACAAAGCTTCCCGGGGGTGGAACCTTTAGGTTGGCACACATCCTAGAAGCGCTCGCGGTCGTGAGCAATCTACACCTCATCGCGTGCATGAAATGGAACACACTTTCACGCTGGAATTGTCGCTATCACCGCTGTGCTTGCATCAAATGAGGCCGCCAGGTCGAGAGTGCTTTCCTGAACTGTGATGAAAACGCTAGCAGCAACCGAACGTTGCCAAGCATGCCAGCTACTTAGTTTGTGGGTGTCGTAGCGTTTGTTTGTAGTATCACACCTGGGAATCGTTCGGAACAGTGAGGTTGAGAACATTAAACCGGCTTTGAGTTCTTGACGAAATAACCGCCCTCGCACCGCCCGGAGGTGCCATGGCGCAGATTAGTTGCGTGTCGAGGATGTACCTCCACGCGCACTTGACCCTGTCATACCTGGGGAGGGATACCGCAAGAGGAAAAGATGATGAAACTCAAGCAACCGGGTGTCCGTAAGCACCTCGGTACGTACGTGTTGGGTGAACAAAGTGTGGCGTAATAGCCGTCAAATGTATGTATCCCGGCCTTCACCACGGAGTAGTTTCCACCCCAACCCAGTACCCAATAAGCTCACTGAACCTCCTCCTGAGTTTCACCCATGGTCACGTATCCATGGCCAAAAGTTGCCCAAGTTCGTCTGGCCCAACCAGTCAATCTGCAGGGCGTCCACCAAGAAATTGAATGGAGGATGCTACTGTCGCACCAGATTACAACCCCCGGGATGCCTTGCTACCGAGGGGAGAGGCGACACACACTGAATGTCGTACGGCACTCACCACCCCCCGTAGTCCATCCAGAACCGAAGCAGCTCGAGCGGTGGCTGGAAGGGCGACTCGTGCGAAATCCGCATGGGCATGTTGAAGTCGTCGAGGAAGACGACCAGCTGCTTGCCGCCCAGGGGACCGAACTTATCCTTCGACCGCTTCTCCATCGTTTGCTCAATGGTTGCCTGAGGTAAGTCGGGGGCACTCACTGTGAGGAGATGCTCTTCTTCAAGATGGAGTTGGGACTTGAGTGTTCGCTCGTCAGGATATCATTCGCGAACGCGGTGCGTGACGGGCACCTTTCACCCTTGTTGCACCCAAGTTCGCACCACGCCTCGAAGCAAAACGACGTTTCGAGCGAAGCCAATGAGAACGAAGAGTTGCCCCTTCTGGTGGCACATCAAACCTTTCAAGTTGTCTTGTGCGGGGATACCACACCATCCTGAGTGCTCACCTGCGTAGTGCCCGAGTCAGTCGTGGCGGAGAAGTTCATGACGAGCTGCGAGTGCGTCTCGGGGAGCCTGGCCAGCTCCGAGAACACCAGGACCGTCTTGCCCGCGCCGCTCGAGCCCACCACCAGGGCGTTCCTCTTCGCCCCCCACAGCGTGCCCAGGACAAATGAATTCCGAATCTGCGCCATTCCACCGGAAGGTGTTACACGTAGCGGGGAAGAACCACGTAGTCACGTATCCACGTTGTTTAGGTAGCGGAAATTGTCCTATACCAAAACAACAGATTTGGAGTATTTACTTCCTCACCTACTTGAACCGGAAGGTTTGTTCGCTATCCCGTTGTTGCCGTCGTTCGAAGTTTTGCTTACCTTACGACGCACTGCTGTACTGGTAGCTCCGATCCGAGGAACGCACACTGCACTACGGTACGTTCTACGCAACATTTATTAGCTCGAGCTGAGGGTGCTCAAGCACAAACGCCTTCTTCAGTGACAAGCTTATGCATGTCGCCCATACAGTCGCCAACGAAATGTGGCGTTGCCACTCTAGAACCATCGGGAGTGGCGTTCTGGGCGGCAACAGCATGCACATGAGCCCTTTCGGTAAGCGCCAACCGGCAGACACAGGTTATTGGTTAAAAACCGCGTGAGTATCCTTGTTCCCCGGTATGCTTGGGTCAAACGTGGTGCTTCTGTACCGTTCGGGTCAGCGCAGATTATCGTGAACGTACTCCAAGGAACCAGCGCGCTGTCACACGTGGGGGATATCAGTACCGCCGCCAGCACCCGCCGATGCCACATCGCCATCACGACCACCGATTCTACCGTCTCCATCTGCATCAACGGCAACATCAACATCCATCGCAACGACAACCACAAGGAAAAACGGGAACACGATAACTATGTACGGCTCTCCCCGTTCCCTCCAAGCATAAATAATCGGCTTACCGTGTCCACCGTGGGCACAATCATCTTGTGGAAGGGCATGGTCTTCAGGTAGCGGAAAGGGGGTACCTTCGGCTCCCACGGCTCCCAGTCCAGCTTCTTCGGGTCGACGTAATAGTCGTAGACCGTAGCGCTGGGCGGGAATTGGGGCTGAACGAAAAGGACCAAACATGAAATGGTCTCGTAATGTCAGCGGTAGCAGGCGCGAATGTATGCGCATGATTCTTCCCCGTTTTAGGGGGCTTGCTCTTAACGTACACAGGTGATATTCGTTAGCGGAGTACCAACAGTTCATGCATCAGAATACGGAGGACGCAGTAAACAAATTAGATTCGTTTATGGTGGTCGACCGATCAATGCGCAACGAGGGCTGCGGTGGCGTCAACGGAGACCCGCGTGCCGTACTGGGCTGCATGCACCGGAATACCTCGACGTCCCGAAGGAAAGCGTCCAGCTTCACCCTCCCGTCTTCATCAGCCGCCGCCATAACGGACCAGACCATCGAAAACACGAACCACTTCTCGGCTAGACCGAGGTATCCCTCGGCATCTTTCTCGAGGCCGCTACGAGACGGACAATGGTATGATGGTGGCAGGAGGGGGTGGATGGGTTGGCTAGGATATTTTGCTGAAACACGCCATGCCCAGTGAAGGCAACGAATGAACGCAGTTACACCTATCCTCCCGGGCATGGCCCTCTATTTGGATATCGGAGATGTGAAGGGAGCAATGAATACTCGCGCGCTGATAACCAGGAAAACACAACACAGCAGGCAACCACGTCGAAGGAAAGGTGTGCACAAAAATCCAATCCCGAGGTGCAAGCCCCACTTCATGCCTATGGCGGTGCTTCGTTGCCCCACACTGAAAACAGAATGCACAGGCCGGTTGCCAAAAACGATGACCGGAAGTGGTGACCAAGTCCGTATTTACACTTCATGTTCACCTGGTGGCAGGATTGTCTCGGAACGCGTCGTACAGAGTGCACAGCGACTGCACGGCGTTGAAGTCGCCCACCGGTACCGGTTCAGAGACATTCACCTCCTTGAAGGCCAGCACCCCCTCCACGTACTTCGAAAATAGATTACGGTGGAACTTGAGGTGCTCCGTGTCGTCTTCGAATCTGTTCAAACCGAAGAAAAGCCGGGAGCGACAGTGGTCAGTATTGTGGTTAACAACGCACAAGATGCCAAGCCTATTCCCAAGGCAGACGGCAACCAACGAAGGCTATGAGAAGGTTCAGGAGGAGGTTGGGTAGTTACATAATTTCCAGGGGTATGAGTTCGCCCGGTCGAGCGTGACAGGCAGAACCTACATGTAGGCTAGTGTAAATTAGGACCAATTAAAGCCGAGAAAAATACCCGTGTCTTGTCAGCATGGGGTTCAGCCACATTAGATAAGTTGTTGGGTGAGACGCACAATTCTTCTTAAGGAGGTGATGGCAGCCAAAGCAGAGAGTGTTGAGTCATCAAAATCTTTGCCTCACCTCTGCTGAAGCCAGGAGTTGACGAAAGGCTGCCATCCCATCTCATCTACGTCCAGGAAGATCATGCCAGCCCGAGACACCGTGGCGGGAGATGCCACGGCTAGATCTTCCACCTGAGCGTGTCAGACCCAACTTTGTTTTCATTCGACATTACGCGATTTTCGTATAGATATGCCACCGGCAAAATCGTCACGCGAAAACCGAACCGCGTAAGAATGTCACTTCCTCCACTACAAAGTGTGCTTCAATTCTTGTTTCCGTTCTATCTGCCGTGAAGCCCTGGAACCACCGACTGCTTTCACTAATTGAGGGCGTACCGGCCCGGACGAAACACTAGTTCCTGTGCGGTGCGGTTTCAACGGTTATGTCGGATTCCGTGCTCTCGCGAAAATGTTCCTTCCATGTTCGGACTTCTGGGTCTTCAAGTTATTCCTCTGACGGTACGCTGTAACAATCCACGCGATCCATGCAATTGGACAGACTACGCAACCATACCATCGTCCATCTCACCTCGAAGAGGAGTGACATGGAGTTGGTGAGTGGGATACGATCTCCGTTGATGAGCGTCAGAATCTGCAAGTTTCGTCAATACCACCAAGAAGCAAGGTTCCAAAGGGGGTAATTCTTCGGTCAACCATAGCGGTTCGAACACTGCCAGCGGCATCGTTGTGAATGTCTTTGAGAGGTGTTGGAGTTCTCAGTCGTGCGATCAACATTCCCCCTGGAACCCTTGCGGAACTTCCACCTATCCCACTCCCCCGGTGACAACGTGAAGTTCTCTTTTCATCGTGAAGTTCGGAAATGTGTTTTGGGACTCATGGCGCAAAGGCACGTTAGCCGAACAGTGTAAGCTGCTCAGGAGCAAATGTTTCCGGGTGGATGATGGGTTGAGAGAAAACAGTGTGGACCGTCCTGCGAGGCTCCCGGAGCACATCACGGCTAGTGAAAAGGGCCAACGCCTAACGTCCAGCATCGGAGAATCAAGCACACCATGTTCCTACAGACGCATCTGCTTTGGTCTTCTGAAACTTCGAGTGAACATTGGTCGAACCTATATCGCGACCATGATGCCGTGGGTTTTGTTCGTGATGGTTGACACAACTACCTCCTGTGAAAATCAACGGCGCTGTTCTTCCATTCTGTGTAGTGGGTTTTGGGCCCTTACCTTGTTATCGTCCATGACGGAGTTCATACTCTCAATCCACAGGGCGTCGATAGGACCGTCAAACATGATCCACTGAGAACCGAAGGAGGAAGCAACAAGAAATCATGATCAGACTCGTGTTGGAAGTGCAGATGGGCAGGCCAGACGGAAACTTGGGAACGATGGAGCAAGGGGCATTTGGGGTTTCAGGCTTCGTGCCGTTATCTCTCGGGTCATGAATTGCCTGTTCACTCAAAGCAGTAATCCAAACTGTGTCGGTCGGGGATGAGGAAGTCGGAACCGTCTCGGAGGAGACATGTAGTGAGTTTCGACGGACGATGAGAGAGAAACTGTCTTGTTGACCCTGCAGGTGTGCAAGCGAGATGCCGTTGACGTTGATAGAGTGGTGTAGGACTTGTCATCCCAACCACGAAGAACACGAATAGCAACGGTGCCTAAGGTGGCTGAGGAAACCACGCCTGCTGTGACCGTTGAAATATTTCCAAAGCAAGTGCTATCGCGCGGGGCAGGCTTTGTGCCTTCCGTACCTTTTCGTCCGGTTTGTCTGACTCGGCTGACTGCTTGAATAGCGTGGAGAGGATGCCATCTGCCCACTCGAACGTCGAAAGATCGTAAGCACCGTAAAGCTCGCTGAGCGTCACAGACTTAGGGTTGATCACGAACGGGTGCACCTGAACGTTGTGTAAGGCATGATTCGGCAAGAGGGAAATTTCGTAAGCCCCGCAAGTAGTCGCACCAAACGTAATATAATCGGGTTGAACAAACGCCGATACAACCGCAACAACACGGGCATGGAAAGCAGTGTCAGCATCATCAATACAACAAGTTCACACATAAGGGCGAATACACGATTATTGCAACCAGACAGGATGAAACCGCCACAAACGTGTTGACAAGAAAATATCTTACCGGGTGATACCCATCGACGCCGTCCTTGCACATCTGAGTCTTGGCGTTCATGAGCGTTCTCCACGCCACCGACTTGCCCGACATCGTTCTGAAAATGATACAAAGCAAAGTACACATATTCTCACGTGTATCAACGATCGACGATTTTGTTTCACCGTATTTGATCCCTCTCCCTAATCTTGCCCGATCCCCCCGGCACGAAAATGGGACGCCAATCGGGTGGACTTTCTGGTTTGGTATTATGTAGTTCGCACGAAACCAATTCTGTGACACTAGTCTGATCATCTCCATAGACGTGTTCTTAAACGTCCGCTAACATACATGAATGCGTCCAGGCTGCAAGGAACAGCCACGAGGGACTCTGAAGAATGTGAATCGGCATGTTCGTATTACCGACATGCCCCCGGGCCAGGATGACGTACAAAACGTCCGATCCATTAGTGTTGGATGTCGATTAGCGGTTACGAGCTAACTGTTCCGGAGGTATCAACCACGGTCGACTGTGCGACAGGAGATCAAAGACGGCCCGGCCAGGCATTTGGGAGTGGACATACCGTCTGTATCTGAGGGTGATGTGCCAGATACTGGAGCATTGTTTTATGCGCTCACCTGCCGACGAGCATGTTGCAGTGGCGGGTGAGCTGGGAGTCGGATAGCTGAATGATCTTCATGATGAGGAACGGATGCTGCTGGAGCCCCTTGCTTGTCAGTTCCTTCTCCACGGCAACCTGTTCTCAGCGGGATTATTTCGATTCGGCGTAGACCACGCACAGTGTTAGGGGACACAAGCCCACGGTCACGGCAAGGCCCTGCGGACACGAATGCACGGAGCGTTACGCCTCGTCCAATGATTTCTGATAAACTCATTGAGTGACAAGATGTTCGAGAGTCGAACTTCGTAGGAAAAGTATGTTACACGATGTACATGTCAACAGACGACCCGTTCCTGAGCTAGACCCATCCGGTTACGAACGGACAAGTGTAGTTCGGGAGCTTACGTTCTGGCCAGTGACCCATTTGTCACAACGGTCAAGCGATCTCGACACAAGAAAGGCGATGACTGCTCTCGCAACAGGCGAAACGAGTCGTAAATAGAAACGTAGCTATGTAGGGATCGACACATCAGAACTCGCCACGTATGCAGACAGAGGGGTCGGAGCGATAGCGAATTTTTTACTTCGAAGTAGGTATACAGCATGTAGCGCTTACCTGAAGAGCGCCGTACTCCGGTACTGGGAGTTCCAACGAGGGGAACAGGTCTCCCAACAGTAGTCGAAACAGCCGCTCGTCGTCTTTGATGAACTTTGGAAGGTTCATGTCCCTGAACGCGTCGAGACGTATCGAAGACAAGTTGTGAGAGTTTCTCGTGGCTGGAAGCATGCTGGGGTTAGACTTTGCTGCCGCAAAGATGGAGCGTATCCGCAACTTCGCAATACTTTGAACTATTGTGGACACCTTACCACCACACCTGTTTCATCGGCCGTATCCCGAAGAATCAGCTCGGTGACGAACCAGAAACGATACCTGAACAAATGGTTGCGCTATTTGTGCCCCCCTCGGTAGTAGCTGACTGAAACAGGTCCCTCTCTCAGCTCGAGAATAGGCTTACCGAGAAACATGGGTGACAGTGAACCCCATCGACCGCCGCAGGGAAAAATAGAGTTGTTCGTTTACGCCAAACCTACTTTCGAAGGGCGATTGCATGGAAAGACGGACCCAATGTTCCTGGGGCATCTGCCCTTACATGCTCACCTCAGAGCTCGCATGAGAATCGCTTCCTCGTTCATGTTTGGGTCCGCCCGCTTCAATGCCCCGGCCATGTTCAACACCGCCTTCAGGTTTCTCAAACCATAGTCATAGTGGTCCTGCGCGGTAGTTGATGGCTTTTCCTCAAGGTTTTTGCGTTTCTGGTTGATATTTCTCGAGATAGGGGTAGTGGTTGAGATCGCTTGAGATTGATATGGTGGCTTGGTCGTTCGTACGGGCCGTCGAGAGCACTGCACCTTGGTGTGGGGAAGCAGGGAATTGACTAATGCAGTGTTACGTTTTTGTACGCGGTTCTGATCGCCAAATGTTGTGACTAGATGGGGCGCCATGCCCGGGAATGGGCTTGTTTCGCTAAAACTTGCTTGCTTGGTCCGCACGGCCGAAACCATAGCCCCCGCCCACCGTTCGAACACCTGGGAAAACTTGGACTACTTCGCAAACGCTCTCTCGAGTAGGGGGTCTTCATTGTGCGGCATTCTGGGTGAGCTTTCTTGAAATGCTGTAAGTGACGAGATTCGGTGAAGACACACGAAGGGAATGCTTCGGGTCGGAACCAAGCAAGCGTACGGGTAGACAGGCTACAACAACAGACGAACCTGTTTGGAGAGCTGCTGGATCATCAGGCTGTAAAGAGTGACCGTTTTCTTCGCTAAGATGCGGGCCTCGCGGAAGCCTTCTGCCGCGAGCATCACCTCGGCGATCATCGCCAGATCTGGTGTCATCATGGCCACTGGTCGCATAAGCGCCTGGCGGTGATAGAGCGATGGCACGCAGAAGGTTCTTGGACGAGCAAGTGGCCCGCGCATTGTGCATTGGCCATCCTTGTAATTCGGACCCACTTGATTCTGGATATAGATGCTCATATGGCACATGGAAACGGAGCGTGGTGGTGCTGCGTTCGAAAGACATTTTTGCACTTTGAGGCCTATCGATATCCAAACCGGGGCAACCGCACAAACAGCCGCTTTCCCACGCTCGACAGCTTTGGATACGTTGCCAAGTAGCTGTTAGCGTCGATAGGTTCCTGCGACTGACGCTTCCCTCTCGTTCATTCCGTACCGTGGCTGATTTTCTCGTTGCCATTGTTCGCACGAAAGCCCCTCACTCGCTGATATCGTTTTCCGTACCTTGAGGTTATCCGGTAGCTCCGTGCGGCCGGCGTACCCGGGGTTCATGGTGATAAAGATGCCACAGTTGGGGTTGCACTTGATCATGTTCCCCATGAACATGAGAGAATCCTTGTGCGCGCTGAGGGCGTTGAGGATCGAAAGCACCTGGAGGGAAAAGCGCAACATCATGCTCAATCACGTTTTCCCGTAGCATCAGCTCTACCAGCAGCACGACCATCACGTCGAGAATAGTCAGAAGCAGAAGCAGCAATATCTGTGTCCACACCAGCAACATGACATCACAAAGCAGAACGCCATTCAAAGTCACGAAGGAGGGGAGTACGCTTGCTTCGCGCCCACCTGCACGGCCACCACTGAAATAACCTCAATCTTGATCCGGTTAAACTCATCGAAACAGCCCCAGCTTCCGGACTGCACCAACCCTGAGAAAATACGCCCGACGGACTTGTAGTCCTGACCATCGGAGCAGTTGATCACCACCACGTACTTGGCCAAGTTCTTGCCCAAGTCCTGCGACACAGAGATATGGGGTTAGCATTTGTCAACAGGGGAAACGGTGGCGTAAGTGACAGTTTATGCGTTGGGCCCGGATGCAGCACAGAAGAAGGAATATTTTCTGATCAGGATCATATGGGTTCAACCTCAAGATCAGGCAAAGGTCACGTTGGTCCCTTGGTGAACGGTGCATGGCGAACGACAGGGATGCGAAACGGAAGAAACGGAGCGCGGCTGGGGAAATAATTAGGTGATGAAATTTTGCAACCCTTTTAAGCTAGTGACGAACCCCGCGATGGAATCCGAAAGGTGAGAGGTGGAGGCAAGCCCGTCGCGTAGCCGATTCATGATAACGGTACCGCGGGGAGTCCAGGTCTCCTAGGGAAGAATCTACACAGTCCTAAAGAGAACCGGGAAACCGACCCACGTTGTGCATGGTATCAAAGATACGCTCAAACCAAAATGCTCAATGAGGAGGAGAACAAGAAAATGCCCACCACATTTGATATTGGTGCTGACCTTGACGGTTTCGGTTTTGCCCGTTCCTGCAGGACCGAGCGGGTTCCCTCCACGGTGGAGGTACATTGCCGTCGTCAGCGTTAGCACGCAGCGGTCGGTCAGCGGCGTGACAACGAGCCGACCGTTGTTTCCCTGTACAATAGGTCAATATTTGAATACAGTTGATTCGAGTGGAAACGTTGGGCAAATCGTTTTTGCTACGGAACAGAGTAAAAGAGGTTTGTATGTTCACCAGCCCTGGCAGGTAGTCTTGCAGAAGTGCTGGTTGAGCGTACGTGTGTTCGACTTCAGCCGAAGAGAAAACACTCTGGCCGCTCAGATGATATTGTCGTTCCGGACGAAACCAAGTGAGGTCGGAAGCTATTCCAATTCTGGGCCAGGAGTGTTTCGTATCCAAGGACTACAGCATCCGCTTTTGTGTTTCTCTAATGCTGTTGACAACGCCGAGATCAGGGCGCTCGACGCACGCCAGATCGTGGGCTAACGGACTCTGACCATACGTTTCACAGCAACCTCCTGTTGTGCGTGTCTGCCGTTTCTCTTTTCGCCAAGATGGTCTCATCGTCAACCCTCCCAGAGCCCTCACGTGGTGATGCTCTGCTCCCTAGGTCGTGGAATGTTGTCCAGTGCCTCACTAGCCATACATGTGTATGAGGACGCGCTCTGGTGAAATGTTAGGAATTAATCTGATGACGCTCAGCCCACCTGATACTCGTAGGAATACTCGAGCTGGCAATTGGTTTGCCTTACGGAGACCATGCCGAAGGGACCATCCTCTCTCGAAAACACGAAGCGAAGCTGAGACAACCACTCGAAATCGGAAGTGGCCGCGCAGCCGGCCTTGATCATCCGCTCCATCACATCCCTGTCAGGGTCGGTAACGGATAAACCGTGCATTATCGTGACGATAAGTGGCGACAATAGTCACAAATGAGGGAGGTTGTAGTCTTAGGGACACACTTGGCCGTACTAAATTTGATGGGGGTATGCAAGCGTCTTCTGCGATGTCACGCCGGTTTCAACGCGAAGATCAAGTCAAGCTCGGGGCTCGAATTTTCGATCAAGGTGGGGGAAGAAAAAGAACAAGAAAATGTTTTCGCTCTTACCGGTTGTGGATCTCCATGGTGATGAGAGCCACCAGCTTGTTGCGCTCGATCTTCGTCAGTTGCCCTCGAACCATGTCCGACATTTTGTTGAGATATCCAACCTGAGCAGATGAAGATGGGGGAGCCGACGCAAACGCACTCTGGAGTTCATGCATACACCCGCTTAATCCACTCTCATTTGCAATGACACACGATGAAACCAGCTGAGTGAGAGTTGGACTGTGTTGCTTAGACTTTTCCCACAGTCCCCCCCTTGTACCCAGCAGACGGCCAGTCTCGACTCGATCCGATCACGAGACGCAACCTCTGCAACAAACAGGGTATTTTTCGTCGAAGCACCTGTTTCTTCTTGAGGGCTTTGAGGGCGGTTTTGTTGCCGCCCGAAATGGCATTGAGCGCCTTGGAACAGTCTGTGGTCCACTGAACGGCCCCCGTAGAGATCAACAGTTGCCCTTGGTACTCCTTCACCCACTTGTCCTTTTTGCCCCTGCGACAAATACACACGACGGAGGTGGCAGTGCAGGTCACGAATTATCCAGATGGAGGGTATTGCATGCCTTGACATTCTTCAAGGCGGAGCTCGTGTGACGCACAGTAAACATGGCTGCCTCACTTGTACGCCTGCAAGGAGCTCGCCAGAAGCTTCTGCAGAGCGGTCTGCATGGCGCTTTCCAGTGCCGCCAACCACATCTCTACGGCACCATCGACGATGAGGTTGGAGGCTAGCTCCACAGTCTCGCCGTCTGGGGACGTCAATCCAGATGCTTCCCAGGTCTTGTTCGTGTGCTTGCCTGCAATGTTGTGAGCGAATCAAGGCATTAAGGAGCCGGTGCGGATGGAAGCGCGTGCGTTGAGGAAATCGGTTTCCTCCCACATTGACCCGCGCTACCAACCTATGATGGGGATATGATTCAGGGATCTGCCCAACAGCCTATATGGTACATGCAAGACTGTTTTTTCTCTTCTTCAATCTGATCCCGACGGGGATGCGTCTTTCACCGATTTGTCTCCGTGCCCGCGTCACAACATGACCTCTGTGTAAAGTTTTTGATGCAAGAGTTGGGAAAACGCTTGTCGGGTTGGGGTTCATGCAGTCCTACATCTAATTTGGACTCACAAGCATGTTATTGTCTACCGCAAAAGGCGGAAAACGCCAACAAACGGATACGAGGAGGAGAAGAAAAGCGGGCCTTGCGCCGCATGCCACATCGACCCGTACGTAAATCTACCTGGAGGGATGAGGTGGATGTCCTTGATCCCCTCGAAGCACTTCTTGAGGTGCTTCTGCACGGCCTCGGGGTCCTTGGACTGGCCCAGAATCTCCAGTAGATCGTCGTCCGACACGAAGTAAAACCGCGGGAACACCATCCTAAGAACGTACGCGAACAAAGGGGCAACGAGAGGAGGAGCATATGTTTGGCTGCAGGTAGGTCTCATGGGGGAAATGCAAACACGGGCGTCGTGTTGGGGGCATCTCGGATACGTTTTGTATCGGTTTCCATGTAGTATCCTGCGCAACCCGACTCTCTACCGTGTACGGCGGTGGCATCCATGTATTGATGTTCTAGACAAACCCTCGTACAAGATGATGTAGATTAGTAAGCATCGTTTCGTGTTTCTACGTGGAAATCCTAAGAACAATCTGTGGTCAGGATTTCTCGATCATAGCATTCGATCATAGCGTACTCACCTGGGGGATTGTTTTCTGCTTTCCTGGAGGACAATGTCAACGTTTTAGCCCAGGAATATCCCTCAACTGTACGTTCCGAAACGAAGGATGCCAATACCATCGACTTCTCTCGAAGCGTGTCCACCGAGCCCTCACCTCTTGGTTTCTAAGTACTGGTCGAGGCTCTTTTGGATAACCTCCAGGTTCGAATCCATGGCCGTGGTCTTCTCCATCATCTTGGGGTCCGAGCAGCAAGCCCGTATCGCGTTGGGGTTGTTGAAGATCTCTTCCGTGAGGCAGCTGAACTCGGCGTTCACCTGACCAAAGAGGGGCCAACGAAAGACGGACGGGGAGAACAGAGTTAGAGTTAGAAACAAGCGCGTTTCAAGGAGTGCTACTTTTCATCTCTGTGCCGCCGTTTTTGTTTTCCGGACTTGCTTGCTGTTTTACGTGCCATCAGCCAAGGAGGTGAATATCGTCTGCAGCGTCTGCGCGTGAGGCTGAATCAATCGTTTGGTTTTTGGTGCCTGATATGCACCATTCTTCATGCCATATCGTCCCTGATCACAACGACTGTTCACAACACAGCATCAAGCCTTGCCTCCATAAATATTGCGGACTCTCTGGGCAGCTGCTTGCAGATGTCCTCGCTGGCCATGAAAATCGACTCAAGATACATCCACTTCTTCTGCACGTTGAGGATGAGCTCCACCGTTTCTGACACGCCGTTGAGGGCCTTCTCCCACTTGTCAATCTTCTCCGAGAAGGAATTGTAGAACTTGGAGGCCTTAATGGTCGAGAGCTGAACGCTGTCCTCCTCTAGCACCTGAGAAACGTTGGTACGTCGTTCGTTTATTGAACTATGCCCCGGTGTTCGCATCTCGTTTTGTCTCCTGCGGTCGCAGATGCTAGTACATCAAAACTGTTAAACGAACGTCGAAAATCGTTGCAGTGCATATGTAAGTGTTTATGATGGAACCCTGACGATATCCTCTTCCATTAGCACCTACAAACTGACGTGTGATACTCAGAGAGGAAAAGTGTAGCAACTGTGAGCCTGGTGTTTTCCTGCTGCCGCTGCTGCTTCAATTGAAATTGTTTGGTTTTTTTATTTTTGCTCGCCTGGAACAGGTCCTCTGTACTCTTGATCTTGTAGTACTTGTCCTTGTACTCGCCCATGTCGATGTCCACATCTTTCCATCGATTTTCCACGTCCACCAAGCTCTTATGCCGGAGGCACGAAGAAATGATGCGGTACAGGGGAGAGTGTATCACAATAGTTCCACGGCACGTGTCACAAGTGGTGGCATTTGTCTCTACATGTAGTTGAGTACTCGCTTGTGAAAGAAATTGCACCACGGTTGGATTCTAGCGTCGAATTCCTGCACGCACGCTCGGAAAGAAATACGAACCGAAGAGCTGACAAGCTTTGAGAGTGTCCTCGCTGCTTCGAACCTCGCACAAATTTCAAAACGCAGGTCCAGAGGCGGCATTTTGATATCACCGAGCGAGGCGGTTCGTTACATTTCTTCCGCGGCACGCTGTGTACCTGCTCGATGCCCAGCTCTTTGTTGGCGTTGGTGCTAAGTTCCCCGATGAAGTCGGCGAGGTTGTGCAGACCCAGGCTGAAAACGCCTTCCAGGTTGAAGTCTGACGCCTCCGGATTGAAGTTCTTGCCGAGCTATTCCGCACGAACAAACAAAGGCCATGCGTCCGTCAGCAAGGGCTCGTGCCTTGAAGAACCTCGAAAGTATCGATTTTCGTTTGATTTCTTGCGGTGGAGGTGTTTAGCTGACGCTACAATATCACGAATGTCATCACGCCCACTATCCTCCCCCCGCCCCCGATGTCACTTACCTCGGATCTAAGCGCGTCCCAGTGTCGTGGCCGCAAGGCCGGGTTCTTCAGATCCTGTATCAAAGGCATAGTCTGCCGGAATTGCTCGACCTTCTCCTTCATTGCCTCCCACACCTTCCACTTCTTCATGTCTCGGCCTAGCTTGCCGATCTGTGCCATTGTACCACGAACGATATTTTTTTCGGCGTTTCACGAGTATGTGGATCACACAAATGACAACAGTTGGAGTGCTAGGCAGTCCTTCCATGCCCAAGAGAACACTATCTCGGTGCGGTATGTACGTTGACTAGGTTAGGAACATCTCATTTCACAAACAAATACTCGATACGCCTTCAACACATCAGCCTGCTTGCGAAGGCTCTATTTTGGCGTACCGCATTTTTGAGACAGCAAGGATCCCAAAGCGCACGGTAGCACCGGTTCTGTCGGAAACGCCTTCTCTTTGCTCCTTTCTCTTTCCGAAGTTAATACTACGTTTCAAAATTTATAGTACTGACAGCACGTGACGTACGATAAGGCATCACCTTCTTGGTAAAGGTCCCGGCTGCATTCTCCATTTCCTCAACGTCGAGATCGGTGAAAAGGCCTGTCTTCCAACCGTCCCACGCCGCTTCCCAATCTTTGGAAACAGTCCAAATCTGTGACGTTTGGCCCGCCAAACAAAGATCGTGTGCATACCACATGGCGTACGCCGCAGCAAGAAATTCAGGAGTGCTATCATTTCGGGCAGAGAAATGACTCCGAGACCTGCGAAACATGACTATTGGTTCCAAAAGTCCCCTTCCGTATTCTTCACTATTTCAGAGTTCTGTTGCAGGTGCTCCGCGTGTGCGGCGGCACCAACATCCTCTTGCTTGCAAATCTTTGTAGTGGATTCATTTTCCCGCAAACCTCAGCATGAACTAACCAATATATACCCCGAGACAGCATCTTTAGACCTTGCGATTGCTCAGCCAGATATGAGTTTTTCGAGAGTGGAGCACGGAGGGCTTGAGGGCTCGGGGATCGGCCACTGAATGACGGTGTGCCTAAGGTCGATTTCGTATTGTGTGCAGCAACGTTGGCTCTACGTCTGCTATGTGCAGGTCTGTCGGTGTTTTCACCTGCTCCATGAGGTTCAAGTCTCGCTCTACTTCCTTGAGCTCCTTGTGCTCGGGCGAGTCCATGGCGAACACGTCGAGCCCCGCTTGCATACTCGCCTGGACGGCAAACAGCGCCCGTGCAAGTTAGTGACGCAGAAAGTGCCGGCCTACTCATAAGAAACACACCGCAACCCAGGCTCCGATGGTTGAAAAAGTATCAACATGGCATAAGAAACTGAGCTCTACCGGCACTACATGTACCTTGTTCAACTTGTGTAATGCAGCTTCTTTGGCCTCTGCTCAATGTTGAAGCGGAGTAAGGTTTCGGCCTCGTCAAGCTACAGTGTTCTTACATCTGGGCCAGCGCTTTCTGACACGTGGGAAGCCTCAGTACATGCAACCAACCATCTACTCAGACGTTCCGGTTTGATTGACCTCCTATCTTCTGTGGGTGTGGTCGGGGAGCGTTCGAGACAATTAGCGGTGCGAGTTGTTCGGTGAACGTTGTGCTTGACACGCCCGGGCTCGGCGTGGTGGAAACTTTTTCCAGGGCGGCCACAACCAAGGAACGCGCTACGAAAGTAGGAGCGGGACGAGACCACTTAATTACACTAATGTGAAGTTCGCATATCCTCGACTCCAACGTTCCTGTTTTCTCCGTGAGAACGGGCGAAAGCATGAAACCACGAGTACGGGTTACATCGTGTCGTGCTGAGCCCCGCTCCCTGGGAACAATGTACCGCTTCCGGTGTCCTTCTGGGAGACCATCTCCTTGACTGTAGCCGTTGACTCCGGCCGTTGTGTAAAACAAAACGTAGAGAGAAGAGGCTCAGGAGGATGCCGGTGGATACCTGTGTGGCGCGAACAGCTTCAACCTTGACCTTGTACTCCTCGATGATCTTGAACGCTTCTTCAGGTTTTACGTCTCCGCCGTAAGGCAGGAATGTCGAGGCGTCCTGCGGGCGGTCACATTTTACGGGTACGGGCAAGGCTTGTAGTCGTTCAGAAGAAGTTTCCGTGAAACCATCATTCGAAACGAAACCTATGGACTACTACGTGTTGGGGACCAGTTCCTCTACGACCCCGACCAATGGGAAACGAACGTTGTCATTGATTGCACGCACACACTCGTTCCGTCGTCTATCTGGTGCCTGTCGATGGTGGACTGGGTTGAGGTCGCAACAGGAGACATCGAGATTCCCTCACTTGAGTAGCCACGGGGAGAAGCTTGGCGACCTTTACCTTTCTCGATACTGAACTCTCGCCGCCACGAACAGTGATGCAAAGGCCCCTGCTCTCTCGTGTTTGCAATGCAACAGACGTTGTGCTGTACCAAGCTTTCGCTGTCACCGGAGACAAGCCGGTGTACGGAAACTCAGATGCTTGTATGGAGGAATTTGTTTACGTACAAGTAGTCAGTTTTCAATGATCGATCACCTGGTGCACCGTTAGAACGGACTCGTTGTAGTTGGTGATGCTATTCTCCAGGTCTCTCTTCATGTTGACCTTGCACTTGTTTAGCATCTGTTAAGACATCGCAGGCAAACAGGCGTTGAGATTGCAGTGGTGACAAGGTTTGGGACTACACGTGGGCACTACCATGACATGATTGTGAACAACACCGCCACCACCAAACCACCATCACCGCAACATCAACAACGACGACGGATTCGATGACAAGATTATCTTGCCTGCTCGACTTCCTTCAGCATCTCCTTGAAATCTTCACCAGCCTGCTGGAGGTCTTGCAGCATAGTCTGCTCCTCCTCCGAAGCCGACACCTCGAACTTGGCCAGGATCGCGTATGTCTCCTCCAGAGGTCCGAACTGGTATGTCGAAAACAGACATCAAACTCATGAGGGTGAACCAAAAACAATACAAATCGCAACCAAATCATCCTCGGACAGACAGCGTACATCTCAAAAGTTCTAGCCAAGCTGTCGAAGCTCACCTTGTGAACCAATAAAACCAACACCTGCAGTAGTGACAACAGCAGTAACAACAAAACAAATTTCTGGCCAACCCTTGTCTGAAAGGGCCTGCTTTCGCACGTGTTCCCCAAGGGACGATATCTCTAGCTTCTCTGGTAGACGGCAAATGTACCTTGGCCTCGATAGTCGGGACGTCCTTCTTCATTGTCTCCAGCAGATTCCAGCTCTCGCTCAGGTGATCAAGGTTCAGAGGTGGCACCTTCAATCGAGCGGTGGAGGTCTCAAACAGCTCGTGCAGCCCACGTAGCTCGACCATGGCGTTCTGGAACAGGGCCATTGGTTAGTCGGGTGGTGATTATTGGCAGACCTGTCAATCAACTGTTGACCGGTTCTTCGAGCTGAGGTACTCTAGGTCCTTTGCATACCGTGAACAGCTTTCACGGCCGCTTACGAATTGGATTTCAAGCAGGTTTCAAACAACGAATGCCGATCACTTGAGGGTATCGTGTCTAAAAAAATGTGTTACCGTAGTCGAAGCAACCATTGACAAGGATTGATTGCGGCGGAGTTGTCGAAATACACCATGCACACTAGACACTGTAATCCCAAATCAACCGCAACCAATTTTTCTCGCGGCATGAAACTCGTTGCCTTTCGTATGTATTTCGTGCGGGATTTCAATGATTTGTTACAGGACCGACAACTCCGCTACTTCCGGCATGTATTATCCTGTCGACCTCGCGACTTTGTCATTTGTTCCATGCACTCAACGTTTCCTCGTCACCTGGTTGAGAAGGCCAGTAAGCTTGCCCTGCCATTGCGAGCAGTGGCCAACCAGGGCAGTCTTGAGCTGAGTGCAGTCGATCTTGATGAAGTTGATAATATGGGACGACTCCTCCTGCACGATGTCGGCCTGGAGCTCGCGGTATCTGACGTCGTGGTGCGCAGGTTTGAGAAGGGAAAAGGAAAGGCGGAGGCAATATTCAGTAGACATAGAAGTACGACGTCTCTCTAGCATGCCTACCGGGAAGAGGGTTTATTAGAGAAGGAGGCGGAGGGCGCAGGCTGGGCGTCTCTTCAACGTCATCCCGGTGCTTGCGATATCTGCCGAACTACAATTAGATAGGAGGAAGAACGAAACCCTTTCGCTCCAAGGTGTCCCTGTACATAGCAGAATAGACACAGATGTTCTCAAGATGCGTATTTGCAATAACGCACATCTCATCAAAGGGTCGTCATTGGCTGAGAGACACAGTGCTAGCTTATAAGGCCTGGATGATTGATTCTCTACCACCAATGGCAAGGTTTCGAGGGAATTTGACAACAATGCCGAAGATCTCGCCTGGCAATGTCAGCCTGGAACTGGGCCAGCCCTCTGTTGGCCTTCGCGTATCGCCGGATAAACCCATCCTTTGCGTCCAAGAAAACGAAAACGGAATGGAATGTCGAGTTTCGATAGAAAGAGGGCAGAGGGAGGCACTGCTCCCTGTGTGCAAATAAAACTTTACGTGAAATGTGCAGCGTGAAGGGTTTCGGTGCACAACACGAGCAGTGCCAACAAAGCCGTGAGGGACGGGGTACTTAATGACTGGCATCTGAGGAACTACAACACGCCCTGCGGTATGATCTTTCCCTCGACACCTTTGGAGATCCAATTCCTGCACTCAGAGTCCTTTCGAATAGAAAGCGCTCGTTCGTGGATGAAAGAAAAGAACCGTCTTCGTTGTTGATGATCGAAAGGAAGACTTTCTCAACCCTTCAAACAACCCATGTTGACAGCCTGCAGTAAACTACCACCGACAAATTTTCCTCTGTATGATCCTAACCGTAGAATTGGCATGCCCTTTTGCTAGGTAGATTGTGCGATCGTCCCCAGTGGGCGGGAATGTTGGATATCAAGGCCAAGGGGGAACTGGACACACGTACCGAGCTTTGCTAGGTTCCTTCTCGAACACGTGAACGCCGTACACCTGACCGTGGTGTCTGACACCGATAACCTGAGCGTCGGCCGGTACGCTGGAAACCGTCATGTAGAAATGCCGCCGACAACGTTGTAAGCATACCACCAGTACTCTTCATACCATACCTTGTCGTTCTCCCAGATGTACTTGTACTTGTCCCAGTAGGACAGGTATTTCTGAAGCTCCGCCGCGCTGGCGCTCATGCCGTTCATGACTTGTACCACGATCTTCAGGATGTCCTCGTCGTTGCTGATGATGTTGTAGAAAGAGGGTACAACCACCTTCGCCGTGTCGCGGGTTAAGAGAGGATCCACACATATCGATATTTAGAGTCTGACAGACTCTCGAATACCCCTCGCAGCCTCATTGATCCAGACAAGATCCTGGTGGGGCTAACATTGTTTTGTGATATATGTTGTAAGCTTTATTCGTCCTCAGGTACGGACTTGGCAATTCACGCGCGAGCCGACGGCAAGTAGATTCCCCTCTGCGCCTGAAATAGTTCCACCTTTTCCCGTCCTTCCCTTTTGTTTGAAGCAGGTCAAGAGAAGAGGCCTCTATTACAGCCCTGAAACCATGCCCAACAGGCACATACGTCAACCAACCAAACTCCAGCATCTGAAATGCCCTATGAGTCGTTTACCTGAGCCACAGGCAGCATGTCCCCCCCCGCACTTGCAGCTCCTGCCGCCACAGCTGCGTCCCCTTCACCCCCGCCCCCTTCCCCCGCCGCTTGCCCCGCGCCTGCCGGTGCATCCGCTCCCCCCTCCCCTTCCACCACAGGATGCGCTTCTTTAGCGGCATCGGCAGCGCCAGTGGCGATTGCGGCGGTAGCTGTAGCGGTGGGTTTCTTCGCGCCAGTGACACCGGTAGCGTTTGGGTTGGGATTGTCGCCCAGGGCGTCTCGAACGCGAGAGACAGCCTTGATGGTGCCCATGAGCTCCTTCGTGACGATGTTGATGACGTGGGTCAGGTTGATCATGGTCGGCCGGTAGTCCACTTGCGCCGACTCCAGCACAATGTTTACCTGTGCCGTTCGGTCGGGCCGAGGAGGGGGGGAGGAGGAATGGGAATCGAGGTTCAAATTTTGGGACAATAAATGCCAAATCCAGGCGTGACTCATGTCTGTGCCGGATAATCCTGTCCGGTGCGGAGCAATACCTGCGGCCCCAAGGTATGCATTTCTAGAACAAAGGTTGTCCGTCTGGTGCACACCTTATCTTGAAGGCGCAAGAGAAAGGTAGACTAGCCACAAGAAACAGACGCAGGCAATATTGTAGTGCGTGGCCATGTCCGTGGGAATTGAGTTGGTTGGCGTTCTGCAGCGATACGAAGGTCAGTCAACTGAGCTCGATCGGACACCGAGTTGTGTCTCGTTCGACCCCTTTATACTCAACCTGCGACTGTTCAAACCTTGACAGTGAAATAAGCTGCGTGCCTGTTCGCTTACCTTGAAGAGAGTCTGAGGTTCGGTCTTGGCGTCTCCGTTGATAGCCTTCGATAGCTGCTGCAGAGATTTCTTGACCGTGTTTCGGAGGGACAACTGAGGATCACAGACAGAACACGCAGGAAACGAGGTGGACGGACAGGCCAGACGACAAGCGGCCATGCAAACTCAGATAGAGTGATGGACACGTCGCAAGATGCCGGGAGGCTGACGCAAAACGCTGCGTCGGCAGGAACACGTTGGACGCTCTGACGGTTTCTCATTCCAAGTGTAGGATGTTCGACCACCGCACGTGAAATGACGACCGGTAGGCTCCTGCTAGTTACACTTGTGCCATCATACTCAAGTGGCAAGGTCGTACAGGATTCGTGAAGACAACGAAAACCGTAAATTTCGTCCGATTTGAGTCTCAGCAGGGTATTTCAATAAACAGCGCGAGGGAAGACCGTGAGCAGTCAGGCACGGATGAAGCTAGGATCATGCTTCCTGTTTGCTAAGGAAGGTGTTGAACGGAACAGGGAGGAATACCTGCCAACACCCTCTCGTCAACCCTTGAAACGTGCAATCTTGAAACCGTCTCCTTCGTCGTGCCCGTGTGTCCGAAAGCTTAGCTATGCTATAACCATACGATACACACAGCAGTAGCGATACACACAGTAGCACAGCTTCGCTGAACGAAATCCTCACAAGAACACTCCTTGAGGCCGCCATGTTGTTTGGAAAGAGGCGTTGTTGGTTGCCACAAGAGCGAAAGGTTGGTAGACGTAAGCCAAAAGGTGCGAAACTTTGCTTCTTAGGCACAATGAAACAACGTCAGAATGCATTCATCAAGCAACTTACTTCCGACATACCTCAATGTTGTTGTCAGTTTGGGCAATGAGCGCCCTTCGTTCCCGCTTGACCTCGCTCGAACCGCCCTCGAAGCAGGCGAAGATCTCCCGCATCGACGTTAGCACCATATCGTGTGCCCACTCCATCTGCTCGTGTGTGCACCGTGTTGAATGTGGAGGGTTCTCAGTGCAGGCGGTTTATTCACGAGAGAGCTGGTTTTCGGGCAGAGGTAGAACTATGGTGTACACACAAACTATGTGGCCGGACTCTACAAACGTTGCTACGTGTAAATGGTCTCTGATAGGCTACATGTACTGTAGTACGCGCGGCTTGTGTGCTTGTAAAGGCGCGAATGTCTTCGCTGTTTCCGGAACGAAGTATTACAAGTACCACACGTGATCCAACATTACAATACATACGTTTAAATTTGAGTTCGAAGGTTCGCAATTTTTTCCTCAAATTCTGTACACCATGGTACAAAGACTATATATCCTTACAGTCCGGTATCTGTGTTTGGTCAGCCACTACTACTATTCGCACGTGAGTTCGGCGGTATAGATAAGACTGCCGTCCGACCAGTCACGTGCTGGTGATTTCGTAGCGCGTGGCTAAACCTACATACTGTACCACAAAACATCCACAGGTCCTATTCTATGCACGCACCTTGCGGCGCACGCCCACACAGTGATCGGCCTGCTGCTTCGCGAACTCCCTGTCGTCGTAGACGGCGTTCTTGTCTATCCTTGTCAGCTGCAGACCGGCCAGCATGCGGCACTGCCTGACGACGGCCTCCTTCTGTTTGTGGACTCCTTTAACGATCTCTCTCGTCTCGGCGGCATGGTTGCAGCAGTCGCGGACATAGAACTCCACAATGCCTATGTACACATATGTACCAGCGACAAGGGGTGGCGAGAGGAAGGTACGTGGACGCTGCTTTGAATTGGATATGTGGCCAACAACTGCTGTTGGTGTAACCGGCGGTGAAGCGGTGAACGGATCAGAGAGGGGGTACACAAGGCGAAATGCGGGGGGGGGGGGGGGGGTCCCGCGAAAGGGGTGACCGAGAGCGAGTTTCCCGAGTTCCTGGATCCTGTTCGAAATAACAGCGAACCCTTGTGCCTTGTGCAGCACGACCGTAGTCCATCGTCAACTAGAAGGTCAAACGCTGCGGAACGGGAAGAACTTCAACCGACGCGATTCTGGCAAAGCGGTTGCCGCTCGTTATGTGGTGGCGACAAACGTAGGGAGCACCAGCGGTTGTGACGAGTTTGCATGCATTGTGCCCTCGTGTCGCGGTTTGCGGACGTGCTGCCTCTCACCTTCAAATCAGACCTACTATTGATTCTACTCAGAGAAACATTGGCAACCACTTTGCGGATCCTCTAACGCTTCGTAAGTACATTGCAACCACAGCTACCGCAGCAACAGGAACAGCGACGATACACGAGGCCTCACCTTTAGAACTCCAAGTAAGTTTTGTCATTCCTTGGTGTATCCGTTTGTCCAGGCGACGGATGTTGTCCGAAAATAGCTTGCGCTCAGACGGGTCTAGTTCGTTCAGAATACCTGCACAACGTCGTCGTGATCAATGATTACGGTTATCGTTCTGTGCGATCACAGAACAGGGCTAAGGAAAAGGAGGACTAAACAACAACCATGTGACTTTTCATCGTGGCATTCGAAACTAAACGTGCGTGCACGATGTAGGTAGCACTGACTCCCCCAGCGACACTTCGCCAGTTTCGCACCAATCAGGCTTTAGATAAGCGTCAAATTTCCACCCTAGCGATAACCTTCACGGTGTGTGTAAACGCTCACTGTTGTATGCCCGAACCACCAGCATGACGTGCTCTCGTTGCTCCCGCAGCTTCTCTCTCTGGTTGCAAATGTCGTGGGCCGCGTAGGGAACCGAGAATTCGCCCTGCAGAAGCGTGAAGTCAGCATCGGCAACAATCTGATGAGCATCGTACATCTGACATTGATCTGTGTGCCATACAAGCATGTGGCAACACTAATCATGCTTCAGCGCATGAAAGACGGGCACCCAGTTGAGCACGCGTGTTTCAGGGAGAAGAGAAGCTGTGGCGTATCTGCTGTGCTTGTCACGTGCGGAGGGAGTCGCGCCAATCGGTGGCACCGCATCATGCATGAGAGTTTGGAGAACCATGTTCCAGCCACGATAGAGGAAGATTGATACACCTGACATTCTTTGCAGTGCTACCATGATGAATTGTTGAGGGTTTTCCGCCACCGACGTCCACTGCAATCTGGACAACTATACCGACCGACACGTACAACAGCAACGACCAGACACGATTCGACCAGCTCACCTGGAACTTCTCCCAGTGGCTAACCTCAGAGAAGAGTGCGAGTAAGTCCAGGTCGAAATTACAGACCAAGTGCTGCAGGTTCAATGCGGAACGTGCGTGGGACGGGGGATGGAGTCAGCTGAATCCGAATCTAGGCTACACTGGGTAACTCGCGCGACAGGGTTGCAGGGAATGAATCTTTCCGAACCCGTCGAAGTATACCAACGGATGGCTCCGGAACAACGGCAACCGTTGCTGGAAGTCTGGAAATACGACGAATAGTCCGTTCCGCTCGTTTTGGAGGCTATCCCCAGTACAAGCGAAATACCTGGTTATGGAGGTGGCCAGCCCTTCCCGTCCCTCCCCCGACTGCTGCCGTGACCGTTCCGGCACCGACTTTTCCGGCCCCCGCCGCTGCGGAGGGCTGGCCCGAGGATTGATGCCCCTTGCCAGCTGTTCACCGTTGAGTTCCATGTGCGACCGTGTGTTTGCAACTTGATTGAACGTGCACATGAACTTCGTGCAGGGCAAAGACATGTTCTGGGGGGGAAAGCTCAGAAGACGGCAACTCGATAGAAACGGCAACGCGACGAGACTGATGTGTCTATCGTGTAACGGAAGAGTAGACGTGAACGAAGAAACAACCTGTATTCGGAACAACAGTTTTCTCTCTGGGCGTACAGTTTTCTGACAGTCTCACAGTTTTCTGACAGTCTCACCTGCCGCCAGCTGTTTCTGCTGCTGCGTCTGAACCCTTGGGTCGGTGTCTGCCCTTCTCAGGAGAGGTACGTCCAACCTCACGCCAAGGGGCATGACTTCGATGACTGAGTTCAGGTGGTCCACCCACGCCTGGTACCTGCGACACAGAATACCATCCAGAAAAGGAAGAAGGACAAAACCGGGAACAAGGTTCGAAAGTGGGTTTTACCGATCGAGATACTTGTGAGGGGTAAAGTTTCTCTCGGGCCCTTAAATTAAGGTCCTGAGGAATTTTCGTCTCTCCGTGGAAGGGATAGATGCTCTATTGCCTCAAGGACGGATGTTCATAAAATTTAAATGAGCGCAGACAATCACCTTCAAGAGGACCCGTTTGGGGAGTTTGCTGGCAATATTGTACCCGGTAGGAGGTTTCAGGGTCACCAGTGGCGTATTGGGTGGCCGCCGACAAGGCCGTAGGTGGGAGGGTGATACAAGCTTAGGGCAGGCACCGCCCTTGGCAAAACAGGGCACACATCACACAAACATAGGATCGTCTTGCTATGATCGTGCTCTTCAAGCAGTCAGCTCACATCACGTGGTATGGAGCCAGCTGGGTGCATTGGAAATGCCCAGCGAAAACGAAAAGCTTCATCGACGGTTTAAAACATCGGCATAAACTCTTGATTCCAATGAACAAACAAAACACTAATCTTTCTTGGGGCTGGCCTGCCTATCCCCCCTGCAACTCTCTCAGCTCTTTGTCGATCAACAGAATCAATTAATCACCTGTTGGCCTTGAAGTCGCCGATGACGGTAACGAAGACCGTGTAGGCCGCTTGGGCCTCCTTGCAAGCCCCCAAACAAAGCGCGGCTTCGGCCTCGTCGCTCGCCATGGCCTGGGAAAGCAAAAGAATCAAAACACGTTCATGCAATCGAACGTTTTTCATCAGAATGGCTCGCCGTTGGTGACCACTCTGCAAGAATACCAATACCTTAAGCCCGTAGACTTCGCATATCAAGGGAACTCGCGATGCAAAGAGCATCCTGCACGTACGGTACAGTGAGAGATGGGCCAGCATCAGACCGCAAAGCATGGGTAGTCAGATTTTGAAAGGCCCCAGCTACCATAGATTCCTCTCCGAACGACAAGCATTGCGGAAAAAATGCTGAACCTTTGTATTTTGACTGCCCAAGGTTTTCCAGCAATGGACAGTCGGCCGTTTCGGTCCAATATTCGAATGTAGCTGTTGAGAGCAGCGGTGACGCAAAAATATAAACTTATGTGTACCGCAAGGTATCGCAGCCAGCAGGAATGGGAAGGAAGAGCAACAAACCTTGGCCATGTGTCTGCAGTTCTTCAGGTGGGACCACGCCTCCTCTACCCCCCGGGCCAGGGAGTGCGCCCACACCGCCGAGCCGGCAAAGGGAGGCTCGTTCGGACGTAGGGGGGGGCGCCGCCGATTCTCGTCGAACTCGTGCCGAAGGCCTTCCACATACCTTGGTCAAAGGGCGGTAGCGTCCGCACAATAACCGAGCGAGAATCACGTAGTTGCATTGCATCATGGTTACTGAGCGGCGAAGAATCAAGGTCATGGAGCGGTGGGATCTGGAGAAGGGGGAGTACTCAGTGTTTTGTTGGATTCATGATCGTACCGCACACAGTATACCGGTGGCGGAGGTCAACCTGAACGTCGCATCCTCGGTCAACCATTTATTAGGGAGCAAATGCTGAAATCCCAGATTCGTCATGAGCGGCAGGCTACGCCGTTACACCTCAATGATTCCACCTGTGCTTTGCCAGGCATTCCTGAGCAAACACTACGAATCCCGCGACATGCGTGTCTCGCTACAGATCATCTGCGTTTCTCGTTCACCTGACGAAGAGCATGTAGGTGTACGCTGTCTTCTTGAGGCAAGCCTGCTTGATGGCATCACGCCTTGCGAGGGTGTAGAAGATCTCAAGCAAGGCCACCGCATCGGTAATCCTCGTGATGCCCTCGAATGCCGTGTTGATGACGTTCGTGTACATGACCTGCATTGCGGAAACGATCCACGCCCGGAACCCATACATCAAACAACAAGTACGTGTGGATTTAGAATTTTACCTACGGTTGATGACTTTCGTCGCTGATTGATGCGTGTCGAACTAACCTGCGATCGAAGCGTCAGCAACATGTGAAATGAACGTCGGAACTCGCTGAAGAATTACACCACAAGCTTAGATATTGCACCCCTTATCATCGTAGATTCTCTCGAGCGAAGTTGTGACTGTCCATCGCGATTGACAAACTGACCGCAATCGGGATAGAAAAAATACGAATCACAGGCTGCAAACAACCGGAACATGTGCAAGGTATCGGAACTTCCCACCACGAAGAAGGCGGTTGCACCAGCAATTAGCTTTTGAGTCCAAAACAACCCCTCCCCGATCATGGGGGCATGGTCAAGAACGCGCGGTTTGGACACATTTTCCTCGAATGGTTATTACTCAACATTGGGTTTCGCAATCGTAATGTCGACGACCCTGGTCCTTGAAGGGCTTCCCATCACGATGCCGGTCCACCCACATTTCGAATACAATTTTTTCAGTACGGTTCCGAAATCAAACACCATGAAGTACCAGCATGAAAAGCGTAGTGCATCACCGCACCGAAAAACTTGATGCGACGGCCTCCCAGTCTCACCTCCAAGTCCTTGACGACATCCTTGAAGGAGTTGTAGTCGTCATGCCATCTTGACGTCGTCACGTCCAGCACGGTGTAGTCAAGGTTTCGAAGCTTGTCGATCTGAGCCTCGAACGAGTCTTGGATGCCGAGGAGGGCCTTCGTGATCTGCTCGCCCAAGTATCAACCAATTTTACCACGTGGGAGAATTTCGTTCGAAGAAAACCAAAGTCCATGCCCAGCAAGCGTAGGTCGCACCGGAAACCACGCTCTCGGATGCCACAAGCGATGATTGTTTGGAGATATGATCCCGAGCTATGTAGGTTACCACCGGGTTGGTTCGAACACCATATCCCCTGGGGCTGCCCAGGATATCGCGATGACCCCCGGCGTCATCACACCACGAATGCCGTGAACCTCGTCCAATAGTAACACCCCACTGCCAACCCCTAGGTGGCGGGCTCTGATAAAACGCACCTCCCTACGCCGCACTGCATTGCTTTCGGTGTAGGAGGGAAAGACTTAAGGGGCTCAAAGAAGGCACGATTGCGCGTAGCTGTCAACTGCGGGGGGTTTGAGTTGTTGGCATCTGGAACACCGAGAGTCCATGCCTGCTCAGCTCCCTGACACGATATCGTTCAGCCCGTCCGAATCTGGCGCAGGTATGGTATCTTCGGCTCGGCTTCACGGTGCCTCCTGGACCTGAGCTTACCGCACCTCTTCATCCCGAACCTACTCGACACCACGTTCAGGCTAGAGCTAGGGTTAGGGCTAACGCGGGATTGGGTGGGATCAGTACCTCTTGTCCTCGAGTTCCCCCGAACTCCGGCAGTGCTCCGGATTCCCCACCCTCTCCCATCGTTTTCCTCGCCAGCTGTATCTGGCTCTCGCAAACCTCGAGCAGCTCCGAGCACCGCTGGACAAAGGCGTCGATCTATAATGACAAGAAAAGAGCATATGTTGCATCCTATCTCAAAGACTGTCGACACATGTAGGGCTGTTGAAGGAACGGTGTTCTTTTCAGGGTGGATTCTTGAATGAACGGGAGGAAGGAGGATAGGCGGCGGAGACGTTGGGCAGCAGCTGTTGTGTTATGTGCCAAGCGGAGATTGACACACAAATGCCCTATAGACACGGCTCATATATTTGTGATACGATTGGTCTCTTCATAGACCCAAAACACACGCCAGCACAAATCTAAAGCCCTCAAGTTCCATCTATCATGAGTGTCACGACCCAAACAGACCTAGAACGGACTTTCGGGGTCACCTGTGCGAAAATGGAAGCTTCGTCAAAGTCCCAGTGCCGCGAAGGTTCGGGAGTGCTTCTTCGAACCAACAGTGCCGTTCGCCGATACACCGCCTGCGAGGATATGCAAATTCCCGGTTGGTGATGTAGAGCTCGGACTTCGCAAAGGGACTCTGAACATTATCGCTGCGGGTGTCAGCGTGCGAATAACGTAAGCACCTAAACACCATGACTCAGCCATAAAACTGACGGTACCCAGATACCAACACAGTCATTTTAGTCAGGCCGTCCTACTATAATGTTAACGCTTGAAAGGCAGCCTCGGTGTTGTACGGACGACAACGCGTGATACACAAGACTGCACAGGTTGTTCATAACACACCTTCCATTCAACACCACACGCGCGACTCTCGTTCAGAACCGTCATGGCCGCGTCGATATCGCCGTCGAAGATAGCCCCCAGGTCGATTTCAGCGCAGCACCGGTGGATTATCTGCCGTTCGAAGGCCAACCACAATTGTGCCAAGGGTTCATCAGGATTCGGTCAAGTATTCGCACCAGGCGATGTAGGCAGCACGCTACCCGGGGAGCTTACCCATCGTTTCGTGATATGTGATTCGTTCCTGACGGCCAATTTCGCTTTGACATACGACTGAGCGACCGCCTGACTACTCATCCAACTATTTTTGGTCTTCCATCAATCCCGACGTAGTACAACGATGGTAGCGATAATGGCCATGACATTGACGACGATGACGGCCACCGAAGACGACAACATCATCAACAACAACAACAACAACAACAACAACAACAATAACAACAGCTGCAACAATACAACCCTTTGACCTCGTTTGATATCTTCCTGAGCAGCCCCGTCAACCTCTCCTCGGTGTTGTAGAACTTGCTGAGGTTCCAGATCATGCGTATGCAGCTCAACAGACCCGGAAGTAGAGCCGGAATTTCCTTCGGCTTCGCCATCGTCAACTGCCCCAGAATGGACAGGCGTGGGCGAAAAAATGGAAATGAGTGGGGAGCGGCTCATTGTGTTCTTCTACTCGAAGAGGAGCTTTTATCACTTCTTCCACCTAATCGCCCGATGGTGCTCCGCCTGCTCAGCGTATGGTACGTTTCTGCTATGGTGCTTGCCTGCCATTAGTCTCTCCTCCTCAAAGTGTGAGCTGGGGGGGCATTCTGAAAGAGGGCGCAGGGACAGAGAAGACCGATCTTCTCAAAAACTTTGATGTCTGCATCACGCAGTTGAACACGCTTGATTGAAATGCACGTTGAGGCCCGTACGAGACACGCAGAGATAGAAGTACAATCTCGACCAGTTTTGGTCTAACCTTGGCTTGAAGGTACGGGCCGCTTGAACCAACACAAATCTCGACTATTATGACCACAGATCGAACGAACACTTAGTGAGATCGCCGGTAATACCTTGCACGTCAGCAAACCAAACGTAAACCAGTACCGTGAACCAACAAGTGGCCATTCGGCGTGAACTACGGATAAATCGATCTTCGAAGGAAGCGACTCAAAGCCGCTCACGTTCTGACAAGGGGTGGTGATGCTTTCGAGAAACTTGAGGTTGTTGTTGGCCTCCACGCTCCCCTCCTTGATCCTTTGGCTCAGCACATTGAAGGGCGCCAAGTAGCTCGAGTTGGCTGTATCAAGGATTGATACAACTACCTGACCAACCGAAACCGAGAATTAGCATTGTTTTCTTCTTGTGTGAGACTCGGAGAAAGCGATTGTAGTGCCTGGAATGGGCTAGTGCGGAAACCCTATCACCCGTTGTCATGAAAACGTGCACGGTGGGTAGCATGAGGACGGAAACATCGACGATATACACGATAATATGTAGGCCCGCGGGGGACCTTCAACATCGATGGTCTTGAACCCTTCCATTCCAATCTTGATGTCCACCCAGTGTGCCTTCACCCCACGACCCCATCTGACTACGCTATTTGTGTCGCACCTGGACGTCCGGCCGGAGCAGCTGCTCAGATATGCCGCTCAGGTCCACCATGCGGCATCTCCAAAACTGGCACAAATGGAAACATAAACGTGACGGGCTTCGGTTGAGGCAACTATAGCTACAATATGCATGAGTTGATATCTGATGCTACACCTCGAGGACACCGACCACTGAAAAATAACAACAAAACATGAACAGCGCGTGTGTCGGGTCGGGTCATCAAGTTACAGCAGTACTTCACTTCTCCTCCATAGTGGCCATGTAAACAACGCTGTAGCCTGTTGTTGCCCTACCTCTATCTCTTCGAGGGGGCCGAGAATCTCGGCGCTCAGAGCGTTGTCGTGGTTGTTGACAACGTCTTTGATTTGGCGCGTCCAGTGAATCACGATGCTCTCCAGGTGCTGAACGAGGTCCTTCAGGCGATGAGCGGAAATGGATCGTGTTAGCGACGAATGGCATCGCATAAATGACATTTTATGTTGTCAGGACGTTTCGATCGGGTGTGATCATTTCTAGGTTCAGGGTCATATGTTCCTTTGGGTTGGACGTGTGACCATTTGCTCTCGAACTGCGGCAATTCCGAGGCCCTGGACGTGAATTACACAACAAGAGGGATGTCTCCCGGTCCACGAAGTAGCGCACTGCGGCAAAAGCGGTGTTCGGAGAGAGCACTTCGAGATGTTGGCTTGCACCCAACCAAGAGAGCGGCATAGAGCATGTTCAAGCTAATTGAGACTCCCCGAGCCCAGAGAGGCGACACAACACTGAAGCTCACTTTATCCTTTGCTGCCACCGATATCTCGCCGATCTCCATCATGTCCGCCGGGAGGTACATGACCGTCTTCCCTTTCGCCTGCAGTATTAGGCAAATTTTTCAAAGCAGGCCGAATGCGGACGAGTGTCTACAAAAAAGTCGGGCAAGACCCTCGAGTGCTCAATTCTAAATACCTTCAGGCATGCCCCCAACGTACACGCATATGGGACGAAGTCATGTATTTTCCACCCGGGGGGGGGAGGGATAGGAACATCGAGGTGCACGATTGGATGAAAACCGTGAATACCTCTGCCGCTTGCAGCCAATCTTGCACCCTCTGAAAGCTGCCGGCCACGCCTGTGAATCGTGACAAACCGAGAGTACTCTCACCCTCATAACCTGGAGCTAGGCTAAGCAGTCTACTCTTATTAGTCCGCCCTGTCATTCCGGTCATTGTCACATCTCTCGGCGGCACTGTTAAACATCATCCGCTCTCCCTGACCTGGTTCGACATTTCAACGAGGGATGCCATGAACCGGTGGAAGTGACCCGTCAGGTCGTTCTTCACGCTCTCCGGCCAACCCACTTGCCGCTTGAACACTCTGGGTATAGTCGAATACACCGATTGCACGGGATGGACGAGGAAAGGTTGAAAGCGGGAGAGAAGGGGCGGGAGAGGGGAGTTGGATGCGATGTTCAGAGTTCTGTGGATAGAGCATCGCCCAACGTACTTGTGGTCGTCGGCTTCAGCACGCCGGGGGTGCAGGGTAGAGCAGGGTCAGGGGTCATGAGAGCCGATGCCGGGAATAACTGGAAGGTCAGACTGCTGAAGAACCTCTCCACAATCGATGTAGGGTTCATGACTTCCGTTTCAAAGAGTTTTTCAGTCACACCAATCCTTAGGTGACCGCGGTTTCACCTCCCCAAGAACAATATGAAGACACACGAGGATGGCCCCGACGGACATGAGCTTGTCTTGAATGTTTGCAAACGATTTATCGCGCCCCGCCAAAGAAAGCGAACAGCATAGCTCAAACCTTTCCTTGTTTTTTTTGTTCGAGGCAACCCCCGCCCTCTCGTGTTGTCCTCGGGGCGACCCGCTCAATGTTTCCGCGGGTCGCAAAGGTTGAGTAGTTGGAACTACGCGTTCCATCACGGTAGTACTCGCAGAGATTACAACTGTCGTTACTTACGATGTGTGGACGGAACGACGTAGTTGGATTCCAAGGATTTTGAAATGGAGATAGTAATTGTCGTTGGAAAGTCCTCACTTTGGAGAGAAGACGCCGTGGAGAAGCTGCAGCAGAGAGTGCACCGCCTGCCCGCTTATTAGACCTTGGAGGTCGCCAAACACAACGAGGAAGGGGGAGTGAATTTCTTGTCGGTCTGGATGGAGTGTGAGATGTTGTGCTTGCTATGAAGCATGACAAACGAGTCCATTGTACACCAACGATGCGGTATGGAGACCCTCGTCGTCCGCATGAGTGCCACACCCGCCATTAGGCTGTCCGGACTCGTATATCTAGACCTGACCATTTGTACAGTTTCAAATACATTTATTATGGTTATAATCGGTGCCCTGAAAATAGAGCCGCCTTGGACTGCTAGGAACTACACACGACTTGAGAGCATTCTCATCGGTGGTATCTGATGTACAAGGGTTAGGGATAAGGTTGAAGGATTGGATCAAAGAGAAACATAGTTGGGACTGATGCTCAAACACTAAAGGCGGCCGTGCATCAACAACAATAGCAACGACGACAACAACAACAACAACAACAACAACGACCAATAAGAGGGCCGGCGATAACACGTGCTCTCGGAATTGTCGTGGAATCGGGTTCCTCACCGTACTGAACATCCTTCAAAGTGGCTGGGGTAAGAGTCGCTCCTTCTGGCCTAACAAAGTAGTTGGCCACCTTGGGCATGGAAATTCCTTCCTGCAAGCGAGCAAGAAATAGCACAGTGAACAAACTCATAACGTTCGGTGGCATTGGCAATCGTTCAAGAAGAGCAGTAAAGAGAGCGACTGGGCCCAACATTCGAGGTTTTCGTGCAATCGGTCGTCCACGGGCAACGACACCCAGGTGTAGCAACATCATTTACGTTGTTTCGGGACATGTCTTGGACAGAAGGAATACAGTGAGCTAAGTACTACTTTAATTTTTTTCCGGGGTGATAGGAAGGTTTGTTCGTCGAAGCGCGTGAAGCAACGGAAGGACAGCAGCAGCCGCCTAACGCAGTAGCGGCGGCAGTTTAGAAAAGGGCGGGACGGGACACGGCGCAAGCATTGGGGAAGTGACCAGCACGCGACTCTCCATATAAAGGTGTGTACTCGTGTCCAACATCCATCGTGTCGGCCGTGTTCCTATTCGCGTCCCGCTACTCTTGTGACCTCACCGCTGCGTGCATTTAGCACGAGGGGGGAGGGTGCAGTAAGATAAGCGGCGGCAAGCCACCGCAGTCTCGCTCGCCGCGCCGCTCAGATAGGTCCCTTCCCAAACATGGGATGCGGTTCATCCCAACCGAGACGTACTCTCGCTGAAGAAAAAAAATGCGGTTCGTCCCAACCGAGACGTACTCTCTCTGAAGAAAAAATTCAACGGCAAAAAGAAAGAGCGGGGCCTGTTGTATGGTCGCACGCTGACTTGTCGCGGTTGATAGCAGCCATTGTACTGCACGGGGTGGAGGAACCCTGCGGCATCGGACATAACCAATCGACCCGCGGCAGTAGGGCATGATGCTGTCACGAGTATGCACATGAGGCAGGTGCCTTGTTTTCTGTTTCCCCCGGCTTACTAGGGACTACTTGCCGGTACAATCTTGTCTGTGCCGCGCACAGAGGGGCATATAGCTGAAGGAATCGACGATAGTATGCCCACTCACGTAAGCAATCGTCTCCACGGATGGTATTGACAAGTCCCCACTGATGGTATCGACAAGTCCCATGGCATACAAAGCGGCCGCATACGTAATCGGAAAGTGCATTCAACAGCATTCACGGGAACGGATAAAAGCAAAAACACATGCATGCGAGAGAAAGACTCAAAGAAAAAGACTGAAAAACAAAGAAGACGAGAAACAAAAAAGGAAGGTTTGTTCGTCGAAGCAGATAGAATAAACTGGTGTTTATTTTGTAACAGTCGAATTAGAATTTGGCTTCATTTTCTACCGGAAACCCAGGGTCACGGTGTTTGGAATTATTAGTCTATAGTTGGGGGTGTCATTCCGTGATCGAGTCCACGCAGGGGCTGTAGCAAAGTCGGGTAACGTGTGACAGCTACAGAGCGCGTGAAGCAACGGAAGGACAGCAGCAGCCGCCTAACGCAGTAGCGGCGGCAGTTTAGAAAATCCCGCCCTCCCATCCCTTTTCTTTCGAAGGTGGGGGCATAAGTTCGGGAATATTCGGTATCTAGTCAGGTGTTGTAGAATGGTGTGTACCATTTGAGGACTTGGTCAGTTTTGGGACTCCTGCGTTTGCAGTCGTAGTCCCCCGGCTAGTATTTGTGGGGAGAGAGATGGATTTGTAAGAGTTGACGCCGGCCTTTGCAGCTAACGCGGCCGGAGAGACGATGAGCGTTTCGTGCGTCTCTCTCCCCAACACGTAGCCTAGAAACCGAAGAAATAATGAAGCAATTCGAAAGAAAACAAAATAAACGAGACAGCGAACTACGTGCTGTATGCATAAGGAAAAAGAAGATGAGAAAAAAATAGGGGGGGAGGTGAAAGTGACACGCGAGGATCGAACTCGCGAGGAACGTCAGGTAGCGGTAGGTGAGTGCATCACGGTCTCGAGGGGCATCACGTCAAACTTATTGCCGCTGTGACACAAACCTTCTATAAGAATACGTCACGTCCATCGACGATGAAGCGACCAAAAACGCCCGGACAGCAATTGATGCATGCCAAAAACTCGTCAACCTGCCGTAGGATTGTCTATGCGGAAGTGATCTCAATGAAAAAAAAAAACAAGGACACGCACCAGCACGGGACGCGCCAATAGTGGAAGCACTCGTCCGTGCTGTTGGCGAGTGGAAGTTAACCGATCTCAACGCAACGAAACACGAAGTCATACATGTATCAGCACGGGATGCGCCAATGAGTGGAAGCACGCGCGCTGTTGGCGAGTAGAGTTAACCGAATTCAACGCAGCGGTAGAAAAATACCACAAATCATGCATCAGTACGGGACGCGCCAATGAGTGGAAGCACCCGTGCTGCATATGTGATGTCAGCCTCAGCACGGGACGCGCCAATGAGTGGAAGCACTCGTGCTGTTGGTGAGTAGAGTTAACCGATCTCAAAAAGAAAGAACAAAACGCCGTACATGTATCAGCACGGGACGCGCCAATGAGTGGAAGCACCCGCGCTGTTGGCGAGTAGAGTTAACCGAATTCAACGCAGCGGTAGAAAATACCACAAATCATGCATCAGTACGGGACGCGCCAATGAGTGGAAGCACCCGTGCTGCACATGTGATGTCAGCCTCAGCACGGGACGCGCCAATAGTGGAAGCACTCGTGCTGTTGGTGAGTAGAGTTAAGCGATCTCAAAAAGAAAGAACAAAACGCCGTACATGTATCAGCACGGGACGCGCCAATGAGTGGAAGCACCCGCGCTGTTGGCGAGTAGAGTTAACCGAATTCAACGCAGCGGTAGAAAAATACCACAAATCATGCATCAGTACGGGACGCGCCAATGAGTGGAAGCACCCGTGCTGCATATGTGTTGTCAGCCTCAGCACGGGACGCGCCAACGAGTGGAAGCACTCGTGCTGTTGGCGAGTAGAGTTAACCGATCTCAAAAAGAAAGAACAAAACGCCGTACACGTATCAGCACGGGACGCGCCAATGAGTGGACGCACCCGCGCTGTTGGCGAGTAAAGTTAACCGAATTCAACGCAGCGGTAGAAAATACCACAAATCATGCATCAGTACGGGACGCGCCAATGAGTGGAAGCACCCGTGCTGCATATGTGATGTCAGCCTCAGCACGGGACGCGCCAATAGTGGAAGCACTCGTGCTGTTGGTGAGTAGAGTTAAGCGATCTCAAAAAGAAAGAACAAAACGCCGTACATGTATCAGCACGGGACGCGCCAATGAGTGGAAGCACCCGCGCTGTTGGCGAGTAGAGTTAACCGAATTCAACGCAGCGGTAGAAAATACCACAAATCATGCATCAGTACGGGACGCGCCAATGAGTGGAAGCACCCGTGCTGCATATGTGTTGTCAGCCTCAGCACGGGACGCGCCAACGAGTGGAAGCACTCGTGCTGTTGGCGAGTAGAGTTAACCGATCTCAAAAAGAAAGAACAAAACGCCGTACACGTATCAGCACGGGACGCGCCAATGAGTGGACGCACCCGCGCTGTTGGCGAGTAGAGTTAACCGAATTCAACGCAGCGGTAGGAAATACCACAAATCATGCATCAGTACGGGACGCGCCAATGAGTGGAAGCACCCGTGCTGCATATGTGTTGTCAGCCTCAGCACGGGACGCGCCAACGAGTGGAAGCACTCGTGCTGTTGGCGAGTAGAGTTAACCGATCTCAAAAAGAAAGAACAAAACGCCGTACACGTATCAGCACGGGACGCGCCAATGAGTGGACGCACCCGTGCTGTTGGCGAGTAGAGTTAACCGAATTCAACGCATCGAAAACGAAGTCGTACACGTATCAGTACGGGACGCGCCAATGAGTGGAAGCACCCGTGCTGCATATGTGTTGTCAGTTTCAGCAAGGGACGCGCCAATGAGTGCTGTTGGCGAGTAGAGTTAACCGATCTCAAAAAGAAAGAACAAAAACGCCGTACACGTATCAGTACGGGACGCGCCAATGAGTGGACGCACCCGTGCTGTTGGCGAGTAGAATTAACCGATCTCCACGCATCGAAAACGAAGTCATACACGTATCAGTACGGGACGCGCCAATGAGTGGAAGCACCCGTGCTCATATGTGTTGTCAGTTTCAGCAAGGGACGCGCCAATGAGTGGAAGCACCCGCGCTGCGTACAAGTATCAGTACGGGTCGCGCCAATGAGTGGAAGCACCCGTGCTGCATATGTGTTGTCAGTTTCAGCGAGGGACGCGCCAATGAGTGGAAGCACCCGCGCTGTTGGCAAGTGGAGTTCACCGTATCCAACGCATCGAAAAAAAAAAAAAAAAAACACGTATCAGCACGGGACGCGCCAATGAGTGGAAGCACCCGTGCCGATGGCGAACCGGGGTTCACCGAATCCAAGAAAATATATATATAAAAAAAAAAAAGAGAAACCATCGCTAGTGTTCAAAAGAGAGAAATATTCGGGATTGGTCGACGTCCGGTGACCGTAGCGTCAGCAGCAATAATCACTCCATTCAATCCACAGGCGTCGAGAACGAACTAACGCGAGCTCGCGATATAACAACGCGTCGTTCTGGGCCCGACGAAAACCCACGTCAGATAGTTTCGCCCGAAGATAGGATTTGTAGACCATTCTAACTGCAGATCCAGGCGCGCGATCGACTACGCCCACGATGAAGAGGAAAAGAAGTGTTCCCGCAACGCCGCCCTGACGCTCGCCCGCCGCCTGCCGCCGGTCCGCTGCTTATACGACTCCAACCGCGACCAGATGCCGACACGGGCCTCCACGCGGAGCGGCAGGGCAGCGGCTGGGCAAGCAGGGAGAGGTCGGGCGGCGACACCTTCGACACCACGCACGAGGAGGTCTACCGCGCGATCGGTGGCGAGCTCGACGGCTCGCCCCTCGACGCGCAGCGGATCACGTACTCCCGCGAGGCGTCGAGCGGTATCCTCCTCGCGAGCGCCAGGGACAGGCACCCGCGGCGACCCCCCCGCTGATGAGACTGAGCTCGCTTCTCTCCGCGGGCTGGTGGACGGCCTGAGGGAGGAGCTGCAGCGGAAGCGCGATGAGGCTGCCGGCGATCGCCAGCAGCTTCAAGCAACGATCGACGACCTGATCGCCACCCAAGCAGCAGGACCTGGCCTTCCGGGGGGAGGGTGCAACTGGTGGGCACAACCGCCCCACCATCGGCCTCTCGGGCCCCCGCTACACCCAGCGCCGAGGCGTCTAAGGCTACGGCAAAGGATAGAGCGCGGATGTGGGGGGACCTCCGCCGTGTAAAAGCGTGGCTCATCCTGGGGCGGCCTCCGGCAGTTTCAAAACTGTCGCAGATGGAGTGGCAATCCTTGCTTCGCAAAGGCGTCCTGGTGACAGAGAAAGTGGCGGCATCGCTCGACACGCTCGTGGTTACTGCTTCGCCTTCAACTCGTCGTCCGGTTGCCATGATCGTAACTGCCCACACATCCACACCCAGAACCCTTCCCACGCTAGGCGCGGAGCGTCCGAAACTCCGGCAACCGGCGCGCGCGGCGTTGGCCACGGCAACGGGGGAGGGCGCGGAGGAGAGGCGCGCGCCGCTGGCGAGGGCGGCGCGAGACCCAAGGCCGCTGGCTTCTTCACCCACGGGAAAGACAAATAGGGGTGCGGGCTCTCCCGCGTAGCGGGGGGGCCTACCTCGGATGGCAGCGCACCTGCGGCTAAATCGAACGGCAGCACGCCGGTCTACACGAGGTTGGCTCCAGGGCTATCAGCAGGTTCAGGACCTGGGACAGGCAGGACGGGACTTTGTTACCGACGTCTTGGCATGCAGCTCGTCGAGCACTCAGTTGCGTCTTCGTCTAGAAGGACTTACACGTCAGGCTTCAACTCTTGGTGCACGTTTCGCAGGCTGACGGAGAAGCCCCAAGTTCCTAGGGCAACGTGCCGGGGACCTTCATGTGTGGGAGTTGATAGACTTCGTAGCCTGGTGTTTCGAGTCTGAGGGTAATCTAGCGAGTACAATATCCGGAAAACTCACGGCTGTACAACATTTTCATAGGCTGGAAGCTTCTGTCGAGCTAGACTTGTCGTCTCCGATGTTGAAATGTGCGCTAAGGGGGATTGCGAGGAACCACGTGGCTGTGGGGACGGTACGCCGTGTGCGCCTGCCTGTGTCTTGGCGTATGCTGCTGGACGGGGAAAGCGCAAGCCAGAACTGGGGGGAAGGGGGCAGAGTGATGTGGCTGTGTCTGTGCTTGTCCTATCTCTTTATCACACGGTCTGATGAGGTGTTCGCGAATGATGCGGGCAGGGTGCATGAGGCACACTGTCTTACGAGGGCGGACGTAGCATTGTTTGCTGGCGAGACGCAATTAGTCTTTAGTCACTATCGTAGAGCAGACCGTGTCGAAATGAGGTTTAGAGGGCACAAGGCCGATCAAGAGCAGAAAGGAAACATACGGGTTCGTACGCGAGACGAAGTCACCGGACCGCAGTCAGGTGTGAGAGCACGCGGCGGCGCGGTGGCTCTTGTGGTGGAGCTGTTATCGTGTCATGCCACGTTCCCTGACTCCGCACCGTTGGCTTCGTACCGTAGTGGAAGAGCAGTGAGAGTAGTGAGGTATACTGCTGCCCTCCGTGCACTCAGAGAAGTGGTAGCGAAGTCGGGGCGTAACCCCCAGGAGTACGCGTTGCACTCGTTGCGAATTGGAGGCGCGACGGCTCTTGCATCGGGCGGAGACATCGCAGAACGAGTGATTCAGAGAGAAGGGAAGTGGAGGTCGGATGCATACAAGCCGTACGCGCGAAACAATGTAGAGGATTCGCGGCGAGTGTCACGGAAACTTACAGACGGCAGTAGGATCGTACCGAGACAGCCGGGGGAGGGGACCGTCTGGGGGAACGGATAGTTGACTTATTCGGTAGTCGTCCAGAAACTGACCTCGATGTGGGTGTTGTAGAATGGTGTGTACCATTTGAGGACTTGGGCAGTTTTGGGACTCCTGCGTTTGCAGTCGTAGTCCCCCGGCTAGTATTTGTGGGGAGAGAGATGGATTTGTAAGAGTTGACGCCGGCCTTTGCAGCTAACGCGGCCGGAGAGACGATGAGCGTTTCGTGCGTCTCTCTCCCCAACACGTAGCCTAGAAACCGAAGAAATAATGAAGCAATTCGAAAGAAAACAAAATAAAAGGAAGGTTTGTTCGTCGAAGCAGATAGAATAAACTGGTGTTTATTTTGTAACAGTCGAATTAGAATTTGGCTTCATTTTCTACCGGAAACCCAGGGTCACGGTGTTTGGAATTATTAGTCTATAGTTGGGGGTGTCATTCCGTGATCGAGTCCACGCAGGGGCTGTAGCAAAGTCGGGTAACGTGTGACAGCTACAGAGCGCGTGAAGCAACGGAAGGACAGCAGCAGCCGCCTAACGCAGTAGCGGCGGCAGTTTAGAAAATCCCGCCCTCCCATCCCTTTTCTTTCGAAGGTGGGGGCATAAGTTCGGGAATATTCGGTATCTAGTCAGGTGTTGTAGAATGGTGTGTACCATTTGAGGACTTGGGCAGTTTTGGGACTCCTGCGTTTGCAGTCGTAGTCCCCCGGCTAGTATTTGTGGGGAGAGAGATGGATTTGTAAGAGTTGACGCCGGCCTTTGCAGCTAACGCGGCCGGAGAGACGATGAGCGTTTCGTGCGTCTCTCTCCCCAACACGTAGCCTAGAAACCGAAGAAATAATGAAGCAATTCGAAAGAAAACAAAATAAACTTGGGTTTTTCTTCTCCTCAGCACTACATGTTCGCCACGAGACATAACACTCGTCTGTAGTACTGGTAGGTGTTAAACACTTGTTGTATACGATGTGCAGCGCTAGCAGGTGCATGCTAGACTTGGAATGGTTTCCAACACGTCAGGGTAGGCCGGCGTTCCCTCACTCACCGGGGAAGTGAATTTGGCCGGGTTGCTGGCCACCACGAGTTCGTCCCCCACAATGGCGGCAAACAGACGAAAGCCAGACTCGCCCTTTGCAAAGGCGATCACAATCTGGCCGGAGGCGACAGCGCGAGGGTGGATGTTATACTTCGTGCTACAATATCACCACAGGTATTGCTTAGTTGCACCCAATCATTGTGCACGTTCGTTTCTCATGCATCAAGGGCGGAGGCTCCTTACGAGCCGGTGGAAAGCAAAAAGCAAAGGCATAGGAATTGGAGATTGTACTATAAAGCCTTGATATTCTCCACCTATACCCCGTTAGAGCAGAACAATAGTCAGTGTTTTTCGGAACAGTTGTTTCCACCGAAGCTACGGCCTCTTTACTCCGCAGCATTTCATATTGTGGATAAACCCCCATTTGGTTCTACTGCAAGCCGCTGTTGCATGCTAAGGCTACAAACACTCAAAGTGTAGAATATGTACTTTTGACGGACTAACCTCGTCGTGTTCTTGGCGCCAGTGCTTTTCTGGTACAAACTCCGGCAGGACCAAATGCTCCTTTATCCACGCCACCACATCCATGTAGCTTTCCGCCTCACCCTCTACCACGGCTACAGCTGTAAAGCTAACCGAGGATTCTTTTCGAGGGGCACCTGCTGTTGAGCTCACCCCGCCGATTTCTCCATCCCTGGGCAAAGATCCCATGGAATCATTCCCCCCTGACGAGGGTGCCGCGAACGAAGATGTAGACTCCCGTCGTTGCTCGGCCAGAAGGTCGGCATCATTGTCCGCTGAAGGTTGCTTCGGATCTGCTGCAACAGAGGCCGCGGACCCTCTCCGAGACGGTGATCCATTGTTGGCCGCCTCGGTAGGGGTGAGGTCCACCACGTCTGCCCTGCCTTGCCCGCCTAGGTCACTCATCGCTTAGGCGGGCAAGGCAGAAAAAAACTGGCGGTGGACGGATAGCGGTTGCCAATTCTCTCAGAACTCGGTCGCCGTGGCAACCCTCACAGTGGGTACTGCTAGTGGCGTCGTGTTCAAAAGCTCTCCTGTTGATGATTCTTTCGCCGATACGCGCCAGCTGTGCCAGGATCTCAACGGGCGTCTCAATATCTTTCTGGTCAGGCTGCACCGGCTTGGTCAGCGAATCGAATCGTGATGAGTGGGATATCGATATACAGCTACCAGCTGCCTGGCCTTGCTTGACAGATGACCTAGGCAACCGTTCTGCCAAGCGTCTAGCAGGAATGTTGGCATAGACCACCCCTTTGCTTGGATGAGTACTAGATGAAGAGATGGAATACTTAGGTGTGGTATCTTACGCAGGTAGTGGACACCGGGAATCGAAACGATACCAATCCCACCGCAATCTTCAAGGCAGTTGTGCGCACGCACGTGAGTGTTATGTATCGTATCTTACCTACAGCAGGTCTGCAAGGTACTGTCCACACACCCTTGCAGCTCTACAGTCCTCTAGCCCCCGCGAGGTGTTATTTCCGCCCCGAGAGGGCACCAACGCAATATCTGAGACCCAGGCTGTCCACCCGGTACACCATGCCAAGACCCACTTCTTCCGCGTTCAGTAGGAACGTCGACGGTAGATCGAATCCCGGGTCTCCTCGGTGGGGCGGGGCTCATGGCAGCGGTAGCAATCAAGGTCAATTCTCCGATATCACTAGTAGGCGAGGAGTAACACCGGTATCATCCCCGCAATCATACCCTCCGCCGCCTGGCAGCGGCAGCTCGAGAGGTTCGTCCGCCAGGGACCAGCATGGATTACGTGGTACAATCACCGATATTAGCGGGCGAAATAGTTCAGGATCGGCCGGTAGCAGAGGTAGAAAAAGTATCGAAAGCGACTGTGGCGGGGGAGCGAGAGAGGAGGGTGGCGAGGATTCTGGGCGGATACGAGTTGCAGTGCGGGTGAGAGCATATTGTACCCCGTTGGCTCTCGTGCTCATCCGCTGCAAGCTACATAGTCCATATAGACTACTTACATGTGATGCGCGAGGCACATATTCTCCTTCGTGCTTCGTAAGCAGTCTCGTGACATCTGTATGTCAAACGATACAGATATGGGTGCTTCGGTTATCCGCAATCAGAGCTTCACGTAACGAACCGGCGCAAGACGCTCAACGAGACCCCGAGTATGGCCGCGAATGTACGGTTGACGTACGATAGAGACTATTCTGCTGTACTACATAAGTATATTGCATACCGTGAAGACAACAACAACAACAACAACAACAACATACCGCAGTCTACATGCATATCCACATCGCCGTTGAGTGTACGGAGACTCCAACCACCTAGTCTGTATTGGATGCCAGCGTCACGATGTCATGTCTGCAATATTCTTTTCATGGCCATCGCACAGGTCCGCCCCTTTTCCGAGAAGGAAAAGCTAGCGGGAAAACGTTGTGTGATTAGCATGGCCGCCAACCAGACCAAGATCTTGGACCCGGCCTTCTTTGACTCAGAAGACGGTTCCTCCAGCCCGGGCGACCGCAGCATGTGGTAAGAGTGTGTATGTTAGCCTGTATCAATCACATAGGCCATGTTGTATGATGCAAGAAAGTGCCACGGACAAACCACTTTCTTGTTGTCGTCGAACTTTCCATCAACCGATTTCGACTATGTAGTTCCATGTGGGGTACTGTATCAGCCAGTTGGAATCCTTCCACGTTCACTGTTCCCGGGCTGTTGATGAGAGACGAGCTGAGAACCAATAATTGAACACGGTGCATGAACAACGCTTTTGCGGTTCAAAGCTGGGAGCCCGCGTGCAACCGGGCGATGACCGACATACGTCCAGTAAGACCCGACGTCCTCACGTTGAATACACGTGTTTTAAAGGGCACACACATGTGTCGATCGCCTTGAAACTTGTGGCACACGCTTTCTGCTGCACACGTTTTGTGCTTCTTTGAACTAACCATGCAGGGAGCGGACGTTCAACTTTGACCACAGCTTTTGGAGCCACTCTTCTGCGGGGCGGGGGTTGGGTGGGGGGCGTTTCTCTAGCCAGGCGGACGTGCATCAAGCTCTAGGGATATTTTTGTTAGACAACGCCTGTCGAGGATTCAACTGCTCCCTTTTCGCCTACGGTAGGTGAATGCCGGCTGTTGCTGCAATTAACACCTGGCTCTTGTCCTGTGAGGTACTATCGACTATGGTTCATGAGGTGCGCGGAACCTGGCGCTACCCTAGCCTATTCTGTGTGATTGTTTTTAGCGGAACACGTACCTGACGGTTGTCCTAGGACAAAGCTATTTCGCTCGAAGATTTAGCCAATACCGTCCACACGCACGGATCGCCGGCGAAACCATCACCAGGACAAACCGGTTCCGGGAAGACATACACCATGCTTGGTGACAGCTCGGACCTAACTTCGGCTGCCGGGGAAGGAACGGCAGGCCTTATCCCTCGCATCTGCGTTGAGTTGTTTGAGCGATTTGGGCTCTCCAACAGTCGGGAAGCGGACTGTCGGGGTGCCGCTGAGAATGCCTTCCGAAAGAGCGGTCAGGCATCGATCCAAGTCTCCTTTTGCGAGGTGAGGTAGCTGTCGGTGGGACTGCCGCCCAGAGAGGAAGGTGTTTCTCTACGTTAGACTCTTCGACGGTGTCCTGCGAGTGGTGTTTTACTTTGTCCTGAACTCCCACAAGCGAATCTTTGTCGCAGCCAACTCGTGGCACAAGTGCTGCGTGTTTGGCACTTGTTTCAGTCGTAGTCCCGATATACCGCGGTGTAGTGACAGGCAATGATGACCGCGGTATATCGAGAACCACACTAGTCAGTGTCCGGGAAATATTGCTTTTAGTGTGGTAGCCAAAATCGCGTGACAATCAAGCGACTATAACCGCGGTATATCGGGGCCACCACTGTACGTACTCTTCACGCCCGGCAGGCACACAAATACTCTGGAGGCAAACACTACATGACTTTGCATGTCCCTTGTGTTTTGGTGGTTTGGCAGATATACAACGAGCAGGTTCGGGATCTCTTCGCCGAGGGAGGTAGCGGGCACGGTTTGAGGGTGCGCGAGCACCCCACGAAAGGAGCGTTCGTTGAGGGGCTCTCGGCGAGGCCGGTGGTGTGCTACCAGCAGGTGCAGCAGCTGCTCGAGGACGGCATGTCCGCCAGGTGATTGCTTTCGAATGCTGCCATGCGACGCTGCGAGCGTTTGTTGCTCGACCTTGAGGGCTGCTGTAATATGGCCCTAAGTCAACAAACGGTGCTGTTCGAACCTACCGAAAAGATCAACGTACCACGATGCGTTCAAACCGAGAACGCAACGCAAGACTACAGCGTATATAATATCCCGTGCGTGATTGTGACATGAAACTCGGTTGGTAGACAACCTATCCAATTCTTGAACCTCCCTCGACTTGTCATCACGCGTCGAGTTGTGTTACCCTCTGTTCTCCAGAGCCACTGCGGCGACGGCGATGAACGAAGTATCTTCTCGCTCACACGCAATCTTCACCATCCACATCACGGTCACGTTCACCACCAAGCTCTCTCATGGCGAAAGGGAAGGCAAGGGAGGAGCCGAGGAAGGAGATGCCGAAGACGACGTCAGGTGGGAAAGGTTTCTCGTGCTACACCGTTCTATGCAGTTAAAAAGGCGCGTGCACTTGGCTATTTCAATTTAACGAGGGGAAGAAACCGCCGGGCCATATCTATCTTGAGGGGTGTGGCAAGGGGAAGACAAGACGTGCATTGTCGTAGGCTGCGCCGCGCGAACGTATCGACGGATGGCGAAAATTCAGAACGGTTTCGACTGACACTTACGAAGAGAGCCAATTCCTTAAGAGTAGGACTGGCCCCATCTCATGCCCGTTGTGGAGTAAATATTCTCCAAAACATGGACGTCATTCTTGGTTTGTTTGCGTAGACAACGCACATGCATTAGACCTGCTACGAGCAACAAACCAGGATACAAGGAACGAGCGCACTTCCGACTAAGCGTGTCACTTTTTTCTTTCCCAACAGCTCTCGGAGTAGCAAGATCTGCCTGGTTGACCTCGCCGGATCTGAGAGGGCCAATGCGACGGGGGCTAAGGGCGACAGGCTTCGGGAAGCGGCTAACATCAACAAGAGCCTCTCAACGCTGGGCGACGTGAGCGTTACATACTGAAAGCCGTCATGGTAGAGGTCATCAAGCATTCCGTAGTGCCGTACCTTTTTTGCGAAAAGGGAGAGAATGGCAACAGCATCCTAGAATCCGGCGGCGCATTATCATTCAAATGCGACCTGGTGATAGTGCGGCTTCACCTTGTAGGACGTCCGCATTCGCGTTAATCACCTACATCCGCGATGCACAGTCTCTTGAAGCATCTCTGTGTCTGACCTAAAACTCAATGCCACTGAAACCGGTTTCAATTCGTTGCGGGTAAAATAGGGTCGTTCGTTCTTCGATGCCCCGTGATCCAGGTAATCAAAGCGCTGGCAAAGAAGGCAGATTCCGGGCGGGGAAGTGGAGGCGGAGGAGCGAGCAGCAACAACAGCAGCAACAGCGAGAGTTTTATTCCGTACCGGTGAGCCACTCGGGCAAATCGCAGCGGCGTGGCAGCATCGGTAACGAACAAGCTACAGAGGATTTCGACGCTGAAGATCTTCAAGCAGTCTATCTTCCAGCCTACAGCGTTGTTCCTCCGCTTACCTGCTGCACAAGCTTGAGCTGTGGTCCAGAACACTCGTTGATGTGTCGTGCGGCTAGCCTACCATCCACCAGACCTTTCCTCCAAACACCATGCGGGTCGCCGACAACATCTTAACATGTTTGAGAACCCACACGTCATGCCTTCGGCTTCTGCACTCAGCGCGTACCTTCAATATACCCATATTGCAATCTCAGAAAAGTGGTCCTTCGATGATGTGGTTTCCTTGAAAACCACGCATGTAAACAGAACTTACTT